CCAGAGGTCAAAGGACCTTATACACCCTCCATTAGAATCTCCCCATGGGAAAAAATAATTCATCTAATTTTTCAAAATGAGTATTCTGCTTCAATTATTACATCAAAATCCATTTACATCCTACGCATCCCTGCATCTTATCCAAATATGTTACTACATAATGAAATATAATAGTATAATCTTTGGTTTTACAAACTTGTATGATATTTGATAAGTGTAAAAGTTGTTTTTGGAGCATTTGTCTATAGCCATTTTGTAGGGGAAAAATGATGAAAAAATGTACAATCTTTTAACTTTAAGTATGACCTGAATCGATTGCAAACTTCATATTTGCACATTTGATGAGATAAACCATTTGTGTCGTATTGTGAAATTATTAAGTTTGCAATCGATTCAGGTCATAGTGTATTTTTGGTATTTCTGTGATAATCAATGGAAACCAATGGCCTCTATTGGGATCTGCTGATATCCTCATGTTAAGTCAATGGTGCACAGCCCCATGTAAGTCGATACAACCTTACTGAACGAAATGATCCCTATCTCAGCTTATGTGTGTCCGAGCACTTTAATATTTTCCAAAGTATTATATGACATTTTATTCTTCATGTTACACCTACGAATGATTCATTTTGACCATAGGGATATTTGCCAATAATTGCACCTTGTCCTTTCAAAACCGAAAGCATAATGTGGCGTCCATACTTCATACTTGTAAAGAATTGGAATGAATCCTAGTTTTCAACTTAGAGGTCAAAGGTATATTTTGAATCAGCGGCTTTTCTACTTTATATTTCCTAAGAATTAGGATGTAATTCACAGTTTTCAAAGGTGGTTCTGAAAATATTTGTTGGTTAGATCAATAAATGCAGTAAAGGATTCCTCAAAAACTAACCTACAATTGTGATCGGAGCTTTCGAGACCAACTGGTCACTTTGTGGGCATCTTGTACATCTAAAGGTGGTTTCAATTATTTCCCATCGTGCACTGACCCAGTCAGTTGCTGCTTATACAAAATGTGTTATCTTATTAGGAAACACTAGAATTGGAGAAATCATATTGTCAAAAGTATAAAATTGATGACAAAATGATGAAAAAGAGTTGAAACCAATTAATGGTTTCCTACAAGTGTGGATAATTATTATCAACTCAGACATATTTGGCAGTTTACATTGAAACCAATTAATGATGTTCCTACAAGTTAGGATTATATTTGGTAGTTTACATATGATTGGTAAGCGCTGCAGGGATAGGAAGAAGGACGAATGACATGTTCATTGAAGAGACACAATACAGAGAAAATACAGTTATGATAGATATATTCAAACTAGACATTAAAACATCTTACAATATTTACACAATTAAATAAAAGAATTATCAGTCAGTAATAAATGTAAAGAAACTAAATTCTATTTGAACAATCCCATTTTCAAGTACAGAAGTGAAGCATACTTTCCATATTTGTTTACAAAATGTTTTTAATAATAATACAAATTCAAGTTTTAGAACATGTTGAAATTCCAGGATTACAAAACAAATACTTCATTTTTTCCCTTTACCCAATATGGTGATTTTTAATTAATTTCTAAGTTCACAGATGTAAGGCCAGTTTAGTCTGAAACGACTAGGTCTACATCAAATAAACAATAAAATATACATGTACATGTAAATATGTATCAACAACTATATTTTATTTATATTTATGCCATAAAAACAATAGAGAATTGAAGACATGGATTTCGATAAGATGAAAGTAAAGATACCAATTTAGTATCCTTTTTATAATAAAACAATAGAAGTATTGAAGATCTATTTTCAGAAAAAATGAAAGAGGTATTATATAATCAGTACAAACAAACAATAAATCTACTATATAAACAATGTATACTTTTATAATGCATATCTAATCTGGCACACTTTGTAAATGTAACTTACTTTTTCAATACAATGTCATGAGTGGCTTTCATTTCATATTTTTATTTACTTTATATTATAGATTTCTATTTTGATCATAATGAAGTTAGAAAAAATGTGAATCTGAAATTTTATTAAACAAAGGTATTGAAACAATACGAGGGGCATCTCAAAAGTTCGATAACCAGTGCAATAACATATTCACAATATGTACAAATAACAATTTTGTAATCTACAGGGCGTTCAGTAAGTAAAGCTAATTTTGCTCTCAAACTTTTATTTTTTGTCATTTATCTTTCAAATTTTCAGTGAAGAAGCATTTGACATTTTTCTAACTACCCTGAAAAATTAAATAAGATATGATGAATAATAGCAAAACAATGGTTGTCATAGTAACGTGAATATGGGTTCTGCGGAGCAATTTCTTACTTTAATAAAAATGTTATAATACAATGAAATTGATTAAGATTAATGCTGCATATGTCTTTGTTTGCTATGGCTGAAAGTCACGACAAACATAACAACAACATACACAAATATGATACCATGGCAACAGTAGTCTATGACATCACAGACAGATGATACAACAGATGGAATGATCCAGAATGATCCATCAGACACTGCTCCATGACATCATCAAAATCATGGCTGCCAGGATTGCCAATGGAAGCAAAATGAACAATGAAATGAAACAACAATTGAGAAGTAGCATCAGATACAATGTGTTGCTAGGGAAATCCAAGCAGGATACCATTAGGGATATCCAAAAAGCATATGGGGACAGTGTGCCTAAGTACACAATCTACAAATGGTATCAGAAATTCCGCAAGGGGAGAAAAACAACAAGTGATGAGCCAAGGTCAGGGAGGCCAAAACTTCTAACCAAAGAGGCTAACATGAATCATTTGAGGCAATTGTTAGATGAAGACCGCAGTATAACTGTTAGGGAACTCTCAGAACTAGATCTAACCAATATCAGCCTAGGATGGGTACATTATCTGATTCACAATTCTCTAAATATGTCCTTGGTGTCTGCGAAATGGGTACCAAAGAATCTGACCGACGAGCAGCGTAGAAATCGCCTGGAAGATTCAGTTGCATTCTTGCGCCGTTACAAAGATGAGGGAGATGACTTTCTAAACAATCTTCTCACTTGTGATGAAACTTTTGTTCGATACTTTGAGCCAAATAGTACAAGACAGAACAGTGCGTGGCAAACAAAGAACTCTCCAACACCCGTGGGGATCGTTGCAAAGCTAGCTCTTGGAGCATCAGCGGGGAAAGTCATGTTTATCATTTTAAATAGACATCGAAGGTCCATTGTTGGCTCATGCCGTGCCAGAAGGGCAGACTGTTAACAAGGAATATTATGCCATGGTAATTACATTTTATGAAATATATCTTTCTAATAATTAGCTTGGTTTGAGTACTAGGGCTACCTCTAAAATAATACAAAGAAAACATTTTAACTTAAACATCAAATGATCAAATTCACATTTCATTTTCAGGTGCTGCGGCGCCATCTTGTGAACGCGATTCGCAAGAAGGACTCTCAACTCCTACATATTCCATCAAGATAATGCGCCATCGCATAGGTCGCAAATGGTGCAGGATACTATCCAGAAAAAGCTGGAGATGGAGGTTCAAGGCCAGTCAGCGTATTCTCCTGACAAGGCACCGTGCGATTTTGGGGTATTTTCATGTTTGAAAAATGATCTGCGTGGTAAGATCCACGCAAATATCCATGAGCTTCAGAATGCCGTTCAACGTTCGCTGACAAAGAACTTTCCAGATGGCTTCCACAGGATATATCAGAAGTGGATAGAACGACATCAGCTGTGTGTGAAAGCTAAGGGAAACTACTTTGAACATGAAATAGAATGCTAACTTGAAAGTAGAAATGTGGAGTAGCCACAGAACTATGGTTGAAATATAGACAGGGCAGAAACTAACGTTAACAAAATCTACTATGCTGTGAACTTATAAAATTGCTCCGCAGAACCCGTATTCGCGTTACTATGACAACCACCATTTTGCTGTTATTCATTATATCTTGATCATTTTTTCAGGATAGTTAGAAAAGTGTCTGATGCTTCTCCACTGAAAATTTGAACGATGATAGACAAGAAATAAAAGTTTGAGAGCAAAAGTAGCTTTACTTACTGAACGCCCTGTACATATAAATATTCATAATATTCATAAATAATTCTATATTCTATAACAAAGAAGCATTCAAATAACCTGTATAAGCAGGTTCTATGATATACAGTGCATCGTGTACTATAAGTTATTGAATGATTTGAAGTGTAATACAGGATATATTCTGCTCTACAAATTCTGTATTGGTACAAGACGAAGTCAAGTGCCAATACAGAATATCGAGACAGAATATATATCATGTATTGCACTTCAAATCATTTAATAACATTTTTATCGTGTGATCTTAGGCCAAAACATTTTACTCAGGAGATAATCCCTAAGAATTATTCTGTATTCTCTGTATTACTACTGAGATTTTCCCCACCTCCGTACCAATATTTTCTGTATTGCTATGGAGATGATCAATGGGGACAATCTCAGTAGCAAAACAGATTGGTGCAGCACAAGAACTGAACAATCAGAGGGCTTCATTTTACAGATCATACGATAAATCTTAATATGCTACAAAAAATTAATATCAGATTTTATGGTGATTTTGTATCTCATATGTCACCACTCACCATTACATCTTCAAAAACAATTGACACTACAAACATTGTCATACACTCCCCTTCATAAGTTTGACAACTGGAAGTTTTAGTTTGAAATCATATCAAAGTCTGTCCATGTCTGAATCTTAATTTTGCTCCTTAATCACAAAAGTTCTGATATTTACAACAAAATACATTTTTTTAAAATCCCAAAACATAAACAGGCATTAATAGTGATCCAAAAGGGAATTTCCAGTTGCAAAACATATTGAAGGGGAGTGTACTTTATATATTATATGCTCTGTGAATTCAATCAATTAATTCTCAACCTTGAAATCATACTAGTACTCGTATATTACATGTATCCACTATCCATCAAATTTTATGAAAATGGTTGAGTCCTGGTTGAGTCCCTGGTGCATAAATATGTCTGGTTGACAGTTGAGCCTCTTAATCAATATGCCTGGCTGATTCAGAGGACAAAACAGTCTGGTCAAGAAAAATATGTCTGATCGAGTCCATAAATGACAATTTAGTGCTCATATAGGGAGGGTGTATTCTGTCTGGCACACTTCACCATTGATGATAACAACTTTACTAATCCAGTATCTTTCGGCTTTTCCAGTCCCCGCATCACACGTTGCTTCATGACGGAGACAAACTCCTTATTGCTTAACTGCCCGTCATCTGAAGAAAAATATCACATGTTTAGGTTAACATTTTGAATTTTGATCTGCAGAATGTTTCCCAAATTTGCATGTTTTGCACAATTTGGTAACAGTAATAATCTAACAACAATTAGAGTGCAATGAAAAGTATATGCAAAATGTAAAAGATTTCAAAAGGTTTCATCTAAAGGATGCTATTGTTTTTGACAAGCTGTATATTAAGAAATAGAAAAAGAAAATAAACAGGATGCAACTTTCAATTTTTTAAAACATAACATGTATATTTGTGTACACTTTTTTTAATGTCATTCAGTTAACACCCCTGACTCGGCACTTAGCTAAAATGTGGAGAAATATCACATAATATGGGAAGGAGGGTTTCCATTGGCCAATAATGAAAGAATGCACAACACAAAGATTATGTTTAATGAAACTTATTTTAGGTACCCTTAAAGCTTCTTAATAAATCACTAACCAGTGTGTTACAAAATTGTAGAATAAGGCATAATGCACGTGTATATAAATAATGTATGCCAAAAATCATAGTACCAAACATCATAGTACCACATATCATACATGTAGTACCATATATCGTATGTAGTACCAAATATATCGCTTTGTCACAGACTTTTATTTTATTTATAAATTTTTTACAAGAATATACATCTGAAATGAACTAAAATATCAAATTCAGAGCTCAATTTTGTATGAGATACTAATCCAAAATAGGCTCTGAAATTGAAACTATTATATTTCGCATTTTTGCGATTTTGAAATTTTGCGGATTCGCTAATTATCAGTTTTAAAAATTTTGTCACTATTAATTTTCACGGATTTGTGACCTTGTAAAATTTTGGAATTATTGGAATTCTACAGGTATTATGTTTTGAGAAGTTTCAAAAATTTGCAGTAACAGTTCCATAGGGAAATCCTATGCAAATGTAATGATCATTACAATACAACATACATTTCAAAATCCAATAGAACAATATTCAACAGATTATTAAAATTTCTATGGGTGAATAAAATATGCTATACGCCAGCGCATATGTGAAATCATTGAATTTATTGTATGCCTTATATTACCATATATATCGATGCGTAGTTTGAGACCTCCACCAAGTAAGTTTAACTATTTTATCTAGTGATTTGTATATGTCTTTAACATAAAATTATCATTTACAGTGTATATTAATATTTAAACATGTGGTCTTAATCAATGTTGACAAGTTACAATAAACTACAACAGTTTTCATCTTATTAGGAAAGTTACAATATTTTTTATCTTATTGGGAAATTCTTAAAATTTAAAGTAATTTTAGTTTTTATTAGTAAACCATACTTACCTAATATTGCCACTATGTGCTAACATCCACCATTGAATCTATCTATGGCCAACTTCCCGGGAATTTCTTGAGCATATTACACTGTGCACCCCCGCACACATGCCCGGATATTCCTCAATTATTCCGCTATAACATTTATGAACATTCTGCTGTAAGCGGAGGAGGAGGGAGGGACATATTTGTAGTGGCAATATTAGGTAAGTATGGTTTACTAATAAAAACTAAAATTACTTTAAATTTTAAGATTTTACTACGCAAACCTTTACTACTTACACTAATATTGCCACTATGTGCTGAATCCCAGCCAAGTAGGCGGTGGGTTAAACAGCAGAAAGACCACGGGAATAGAATAAATTTGCAACAAACTACAAATTGATCAACCCTACAACTTTAGGTAACCCAACTTTACATCCTAAAGCCTTCGGGACTAAGGAACTTAATAACATAGTACAAGTTCTGGGGTGAAATGTTTAAACTGTGTTAAACACTTAACAAAACTAATTATTCAGATTCACTATGCTAAAAAACTACTGAGTATTATTTCATATATGACTCAATTGGCCACTATGATAAAAAACGGACGTCTATCTATGGCGGGGTAATTCAACCACCAAAGGTCAACAACGAACTTATACCACAGTACAAATTCTGACATTCTGATTGGCCATAAAGTTAAGAAAAATGTCAGAATATTTTCTAGCATAGTCTTACATGTCTTAGACTTACATACATGACTTGGAAGTAATTTAAGCTGCCCATTGTGCCTGCTTTAAACATATCTTCCACTCGACTTCTAGAAACAAAGATTGAAGAAGTAGTTACTGGTCTTGACATAATGTTTTCGACCCTTCTTTAACAGCTACATGTGTATACTTCTGTATACCTTGTACGTGTAAAGAAGCTTTGAGTAAAGGTGAGACGAAGTACTACATCGGTTACCATATGTTGGACTCTTTATGATCTTCGAACTATGAACACCAGTTGTTTAAATATTCTTGGAATTGTGATAACTCCGAAATCCCAATTACATCTTAAATATTAAACATCTGGTATAAGTGCTTCTGCAAAGCATTGTAACCCTTAAAGGCCAAGCTGTGTCTGAATGATAAACTACGTAGAGATTCATCATTTACTCATTGCCATTAGGATCACATGTTCAATCATTGAAGAACCCATGTACACCCTCCTTATTAGTCGAGTATGCTTGGTTGTTTACAATTCAACAATAAAACTGTGCATATTACCGAACACTTTCTGAAAAAATCGGTAAATTAAAGATAGTCATGTATCCAAACATGTCTAGATGATACCTGCTGAATACAATCCTAGATCTTGGTACAAACCCAAGAAAGAGATTATAATGGTTAAGAGTGAATAAGTTCAACTGAACCACAACACTAACTCAAAACCTTAAAGAATCATTCGACTCTAGAAGAAGTTATCAGGACAAGATCATTTAGGAACTGGTTCTGAAAACCCTCCTCTGATATATGCTGACAATTTACTAGAACAAATTGTACGATATCATGATAGAATATATCATTAGAGAGTTCCAATTACAACAATTACAGGTAAATAAGACGACTACCAAGTAATTGAGTGGCATTCTAGTCTTATAGCATATATAGTGTGATAAAAAATTCTGCGTCTCTTGATAAGAAAAACCTGCAATATATTTATCCACAAAGTTGCTAGGGAAGATATACGTTTCATGTATCTTCTAATATTGCTGTTTAGTCATACACAAACATGTATACTATGACTAAAATATGAGTAAATAAACTCATTAGAATGCAATGGAAATGCAAGCTCACATTAATAAGACTATGATGTTCTAAACATCAATATTCTTTGAATCTGGAACAACAAACAATTCAAGTGAGACGTCTTGATGTCTAATAGTTACTAGTGTTACACATCAATTGAACTGTAGTGTCAGATGTCACAGTATTGCTTTCTTGCAATATAGGTGTTAAAAACCCCATCACGCTTCTCATCCTTAAAATCAACAGGTGTTTCACTTTCTCTTGTTGAAAATGAACCCTGATTTTGAAGGATAGTCTAGCTGTCAAGCAACGTGGATATTAACAACTACGTTATGGTTTGCATCTTTGAACACAAAAATGTTCTTGGGCAAATTCATCTACCTTGTAAGTGTTCAAGAACCGTTCCCATATAACATGTATAAATAAAACGAGAATTATTCTCGTATTGAAATCCTCTGTTAAACACCTCAAGAGGTTGACCACCATCTGCCTCAATTATGAATGGTACAGAGGAAAATAAAGCAACGTTAAAAGCCTTATTCAATTGCCAAATAGAATAGGCAAACACCACTAAACTACAGTAGCTAATAGGAATCGAACCGATGACTATGTGGTTCCTGAGAATTTACATTCCTGTGACAGGGCACCAAAATGCCTTGTTAATTACTTGGAATCTTGACATCATAAACCTTAGATGTATATTTGTCCTATTAAGGGGGTAGTGACATTACTAGTCTCAGGACAGGACGATTCCTTAATTCAGTGTTCTACTCAGAACAACATCTGAAAAAATATACTGTCTCAAAAATGAAACTATTTGATAAAGTATAGATGGAGTTGAAGATAATTCGTATAGAAATATCTCCAAAACCGCACGGAAACGACTGTGATTTCCGTTAAAGAACATATGTATAACAGTCAGCAGAAAATGTCTGTGATTCTTAAAATCATGAGACTGTTACAAAAATAACGTGGTCACAATTTGATCACGACAATTTTTGGCATATGTGTGAAAAATTGCCAATGTTAATATTAATTGACCAATGCTTAAAAGGTAAGTCTGAATCTCTTGCTTGGAAGAGCTCATGTGAAGACAAACGAAACCATGTCTATAACAAAGAGTACACTAGCTCTCGAGTATATAGTACTTCAGTACCACTAAATGATGTTTTGAGGTTCTACCACCAAGGAAACATGGTAACAAGTGATTCCATGGTGAAAAAACATAAACCTCTAATCAACATGTAAGATCTCTCAAAAAGTGATTGAACTGAACACTGATGCTACACTGATATAAAGTAAACGTGTGGCTATTCAAGACACAAATGTTTACACAGAAGCATGGCACGACTGTGAACCTGTTGAAGATGATACTGTCATGACTGAGGCTGGCTCAGTAAAACACTCTTCAAAACAGTGATTAAACTTAAACCGTGTTTAAAAACTGAGCAACCTGAACAAGGTCAAAATAAACAAAAATTCATTCTGTGTGTGATGTGGTAGCAAACAGGCCAATGGTCTGGATATACAGATATAGGGACTTGTTATAAGTAAGTACAACTACTTCCCCTCGTCACAAAATAAAACCATTGGAATAACACCCAAGGTTGTAGTGAAAAACACAGAATTTGATTTACAGTCTCTTGAACTGACTTACCAAGAGATCTGAAAAGTCATCTTAGACTTCAATAATCAACTTTTGACTTCAAAAGCTGTCAAGGCTAAGAAAAATAAAGGAAACAAAACATTTACTGAGGTGATGTTTTAGACATAACCTTACTTTAACTGGCAAACTAAAAGCCGCCAAATGTTTAAGTTTTCAAAAAACCTCGACTGTAATCTTAATTCCTCAAACAATTAACACTGAGTTGAATGCTTTATGAGAAGCATCTGGAGAAAGTAACCTATGTCAAAGATACTTCCGCCAACTCAACTCTGAACGTTATTATTCCAGGAATAGAGTCTAAATAGGAGTATTCAGAAATGATTCTTGTAGAATATAAAGATTTCAGTCAGAAATGACAAGTTCATGACATTGTCATTTGTCAACGCATACAACACTTCTTATATGAATAAGTACTTGTGTTGTTCAGTTGTTGGCTAATATAGCTAGAAGGATAGTCTAGTGACTCAAAACTAAAACAATCTAAGTCACCTTCTACTTCTCTGTTGAAGAGACGGAATCAACCAATAACAGGATGATTGTGATCATCCGTGAATTGTTTTCTTCAGCATATAGTAATAGCAACATCTACAATTACTTGGAGAAAAACAGAAACGCACAATCAGAGACAATAACTTATAGGTCTCTGATTCGAAAAGATCTACTTGGAAGATGAGTAGGCTAAAAAGCTATATTGGTCTTTTCTGTGAAGAAGATGACGACTTCACAGTAGGCCTACTGTAAATCTTACAGTTACTTTTGTTAATCTTTAGCCTATCCTTTTTCTGAACAGTAGACAAACAACTCAGTCCAGAAATAACTGTACCAAATGCATAAGTGACAAACTTATCCTGCTGCGTATAACTAGTATAAAAACTAAATGGACTAAATAAACTAATTATACTGTGGTCAGCATACGTGTTCTATGTATGAATACTACACCAGGTTTTACAACATACAGTGTTATTTTCTAAATACATTTAAATGTATGTGAACCAATTAAGTGTCTTCATCTGAACATCATCGTGATCACGCTACTGTAAGGAAGAAATATCTTCTGTAAGATGAAGAAATATCTTCTTCATCCTAGGATCATACAGTCTATGCTCGACACATGTCAAAACCTGAAAGACAAATTTACTGGTGTATTTATTTCTTCATGTTTACATAATCATGTTTAAATATCGGGACTGGAGTCCTTTTATAAACTATGCATAAAGAAAAGAGATAACTGCGTTCTAATGAACACGTATGTGTTTTCATTGTGGACTTACAACCCAAAAACATATGAGCAGTAAAGAAGCCATCTTCAGATGTAGATGTAGATATTTTTCAAATTTCTCATATTCATCTGGAACTGAACATTTACACATTTTATGTGATAAATACAGAGACGAAGAATTGAGAGCTATGTAAACTTGAACAGTTAATGTTTTCTTTATGGACTGACAACCAAATGAAAGACCTCAATATAAGGCAAGGTACTGTAGGCATAAACAGTGTCTACCTTCTTCGGGCTTCCTTACTTTCTTATCTGGATTGAAAACCTCTCATGTAACATAACACAGAGAAGAACATTACGTTCTCTGTACATGATGTCTTCTGATGGTCTAATGACCCCTGTGAAATTGTCATTTATATATGACAAATTGTCTGGAAAAAGGTCAATTGTACACTAGAGACCTTTTCCATATGCTTACTATAATCTCATGTCGGGACTGAAGACCCTATATGGAGTAAGCAAAGATAAAACGAACGAGGTAAGATCTTCGACATTTTATATATCAGATGTTTTCTTTGTGGACTAACAACCCAAAGAAAAAACCTTGAAAACTTGTCTTATAGTTCCATATGATCTATTTTCCTCGTCCTCTTACTTTCATTTGTAACTGATGAACCTGTAGAACAACTAACTTCCTAGTTCCGTGTCCATAGTCACAAGTTAATTGTAAATTTATTGCGATTCTAAAATTTCCGACTTTACAGAAGGAAAATGGCGGAATAATTGAGGAATATCCGGGCATGTGTGCGGGGGTGCACAGTGTAATATGCTCAAGAAATTCCCGGGAAGTTGGCCATAGATAGATTCAATGGTGGATGTTAGCACATAGTGGCAATATTAGTGTAAGTAGTAAAGGTTTGCGTAGTAAAAAGATTGGGTTTGTTTGACCTATATATCATAATACCTCTTTCTAATTATCCTTTTCATTTTCAAAACGCTAAAGTGAGAAACAAACAAGAAATTATCAAATTTTGTAAGATCAATAATTGTTAAATACAATGACATCATTTTAAAAAACAAATCGAACAAAGATTTCAGTGTTGTACAGCTTTAATATACTCTAAAATGAAATACAGCATTATTATAGCTTTTATGTTAACCCAATTCCTATTGGTTAATTTCTAGCAAGCTCCTGGAAATCTGGCCAATGAAAAACCTCCTACCTTCTCATCAATCCATGGGACAACTCTGTTACCCCAAGCATTCCCTAACATTTTCAAAAATGTTTTAGAAAGCTTCATTTCCCGAGGACGGGTGAAACCAAATGTCGCATGAGGCTTCAATGCAGACATGAAGGCTTTCCCAGACAATTCATTTGTGTCTAAAAAGGCAGCCAAACATTTGGATTAAAATAGAATAGTGAAAAAAAGGGTGACTTGAATCAGATGTATAAGATGTATAAATAATGTAAAAAGGAAAAAAGAATACAGAAAAGAAGCTCAATACACTACAATGCAGTGACGAAATAGTACACATCAGAAATTCTAAAATGCAGTCAAATCTGAACTATTAACAAGCCAGACAGAAATATAAATCATAAAAATATTCTAAAGTAAAATCTGTAAGAGCTAAACACAAATCAACTTAACAATGTGATGATGAGGCTCAGATTAAAACTAGATAATGGCAACTCCGCGGAGTAGCAAATCCCAACGAACAAAATATCAATTACCGAATTCCAATCAATTTTACTCATTACTTTGGTTAAAATTGAAAAATTTAGATTTTAGAATTGCGAATTCCTGCAAAGCAGTCATTTTGAATTTTCTGAGGTACAAATCTGAAAAATAATAGCATAATTGTGATCTACTCCAAAATTCCTTCAATTTGAGTATAATATAGCCATACTTTGAAGGGATCGAAAAATGATTGCGAAATTGTACATTAGATGGCCATTTTGAATTTCACGAGGCTCGAATCAGAAAAAAGATACAATATTTGCAATCTACTCTTAATTGCCTTTCATTTGAGTATAATAAAGCTATACTTCAGAAAGATCTAAAAATTAGCGAAAATTTCTGTTTTCCTGACCCCCCATACACAGCCCCTGGGGGTCAGGATGAAAATCAAGGAATATATGTGAAAAAGATAGATGTTGCGAATATACTACCAACATTTCAAACAATAATATAATTACTTTGGTTTAGAATGAAAAATTTATGATTTTTGCGAAAAAGTCCCGTCATTTTTAAAGCGGCGGCCATCTTGAAAAATTTTTTTTTGTGTAAAACTATTCATCAATATACATCTTTCCACCAAATATGAAGAAAATCTGTCTGCTAATATTTGAGTTATCTTCCGGATGGACAGACGGACGGACGGACGGATGGACTGACTGACTGACGGACTGACAGACTGACAGACGGAGGGCTTCACTATATCCCTACCGAACTTCGTTCGTTGGGATAAAAATGATGAGATTAAGGGGAGTAGCAAGGGCTTAAATATTGCTAAGGCAATAGTGGAGACAATTTCACCCATGAGTTACAATATTTACATGTGCTACTTACTATCCTCATCAAATATGGTGAACACAACGTTTACAATATGGTCACTGAGCGTTACATGGGCCACTGTAGAAGCTACATGTTTTAAGGTGGCTGAAATATAAAAAATATTTAAATTGAATTTTCTAAAAAGTAAAATGTATTGATACGCTTGTTAAATTCTCGGCATGAATAAGTTGCTTTGGTAAAAGACAAGACGAGGCATGATACAATCCATAAAGGTTTTAAAAGGAGTTATTATATTATTTTCTTTGAAAGTATTTCTTGTTCAATATTGAAGGTACCGAGTCTTTAGAGCATTTTTTTATTATTTATTCAAAATTCTGTATTTGGATTCATTTTAGATTGCTTCTTAACAGGTAGCTTCATCTGCAATTTTATGTACAAGAGAAAATTAATTTATAACTAACCTCTAAATCATAGTAACAAAAAATAGTTCACATAAAGCCATCCAATATAATTCAATTCAAATGCAGTTCTGAGGAACATAGTAGTTACCACCCAACCAACCCCCCCCCCCACACACACACCCTCCCATCACTCCCCCCACACCCTCCCATCCCCCACACCCTTCCTCATACCTTGATCAATTGATGCTCCAGCTACATGATAGAAAGTCAATGCTGTATCAACATCATTGATGCTACTCAACAAACTGAAGAAATCCTGGAACTCTCTGAAGGATATTCCCTGAAATATAATACAGACAAGATTTTAATAAGGGAAAACATTCAGTGCTGAGTAATTCATATGTCAGTTAGAAGAATATCACCAGGGCTGAGTAATTCATATGTCAGTTAGAAGAATATCATCCAAGTTTGTAAGGGCTAGGCAATCTATTTTTCAATAGGCAGAATATCACCAAAGCTTGCCAGGGCCGAGTAATTTAATTGTCATTGGAAGAATGTTACTAAAGTTTGTCAGGGCTGAGGGATAGTTTCAAAAGGTTGGGTAAAACAAGATTTCAATATGGGAGATGGGCCAAACAACTTTTGATAAATTTGATGTATAGAGTTTTGGCTTGGAGAGGGAATTAGACTAAGATTGAATGAATATTGTTTCACAAAACTATAAACATTTGGACACCACCCCTGAATAGATAATTTTATATGGCAACCAAAATTATTCTCATATAAAAGGTTGATATCCAACCCTATTCAATATTTTTTTTTTTTAATTTTATTTATTTATTTATTTATTCATACATATTTCAACATCAATGTACAGTAAACGGGTGACACTTCTCGTGTATATTCCCGTGTTTATAAACAAACATGAAATGTACAGATTGGGGATCTGCTTGTGTGATGAATGCTACTATCTATGTCTGACTAAGAATGTGTCATATAATGCCCACTATAGTTAACTGAAATTGATATTATTGATTGATAAAATATTTTTTCAATTCTTTTTTCATAATAAAAATACTTCCAGATGATGTTATTTCAATAGGTAATGATTCCAAATTGATGGTGCAGTAAAAGATATCAAAGCTTTTCCATAATTTGTTCGAATTTTGGGTTTGTCATAGTTTACCCTATTTCGGGTGTTGTAAACATGTCTCTCTTGGATGGTACTGAAGAGGTTTGGAAAAATTTTATGATAATTTGGAGTTTATTAATCCATTTGTACATGAAAAGGCATTTCAACTGCTTATTAATATCAAATATATTCAAAATGTTCAGTTGTTTGAATAGGGGAAGGGAATGTGCTCTGTAGTTACTGTTTGTTGCAATACGTGTAAATTTTTTCTCCAAAATATGAAGGGAGTTTAACAAACCACTACCTGCTTCACCCCAGATAAGATTGCCATATATCAAATAAGAGTAAATAAGGGAATAATAGATGCTCAAGAATGCTTTATCATTTAACAATTGTTTGACCCTATATAGAATACCAATGGTTCTGGAGATTTTAGCATTTACGGACATAATATGACGTTTCCAGTTTAAGTTTTGATCAATTTTAATACCAAGAAAATTAATGTTATCAACCTGCTGAAGCTTCTTTTTATTAAGATAGATGTTTATGTTATTTGCATTATATCTTTTTTGACTCGGGGTGAAAATAATATATTTTGTTTTAAGTGATAATTTATTAGTGATAAGCCACTCCTCTATTAGTTTTAGTTCAGTATTAAGAATATCAGCAAGTTCAGTTAGATTTTTACCTTTTATCAATAAATTGGTATCATCCGTGAATAAAACAAAAAACAATCGTGGAGAAGAAAGGTAAATGTCATTTATGTACAGAATAAAGAAAAGTGGTCCAAGAATTGAGCCTTGAGGGATTCCGCACGTGATAAATTCAGGCTCAGATAAGGTATTGTTGTAAAATGTTTTCTGAATTCTGTGTGTAAAATAGCTTTTGATCCAACTGAGCGCAACACCACGAATGCCATAAAATTCAAGTTTACTAAATAGGATGTTGTGATCAATTGTATCAAAGGCCTTGGAAAAATCAAGAAACAATCCAATGGTAAATTCGCCATCATCAATCGCTTTTCTAATCTTTTCAATAAAAGTTAGAACAGCCATTGAAGTCGATCTTTTTTCCCTAAATCCAAATTGGTTAATGTACAAAATATCGATAGAGTCTATGAATGTAGAAATTCTATGATGCATTATTTTTTCCAGGATCTTGGAGAACACGGGTAAAACTGAGATTGGGCGATAATTAGTGAAAAAATGTGCATCATCTTTTTTGTATATAGGAATAACTTTTGCTATTTTAAGCCGATCCGGGAAAATTCCGCTTTTAAGAGAGAGATTAAAGGTATGTAAAAGAGGATGGTGAAATAACAATCCACAATCTTTAATGATAAAAGGTTTAAAATCATCATGTCCTGCTGCAGAGGGTTTTAAGTTGGTAATTATTTTATTCAATTCATTTGCTTCAACGGTATCTAACAAAAGAGTTTGAGCTTGTCTTCCTATTGATTGCATAAAGTCCAAAGAATTTCTATTTGATTTTGGTATTTTACTTGCTAATTTTTCACCAACCTTTACGAAAAAATTATTAAATTGATTAGCTATTTCTTGTTTATCAGTTAATTCAACATTATTATGAATAAAAGAATCTGAAATATTATTATTTTTATTTTTCCTCTGGAGTATCTGATTAATTATTTGCCAATTTGCTTTTATATTTCCCTGATTATGTTCAAATTTGTTATTGTAATACTGCTTTTGTGAAAATTTTATTGTGGTTTTTAGCTGATTTGCAAAAGATTTATATTGCTTTTTATTTTGATCGTTGGGATTTCGAAGGTATTTTTTGTAAAGTTTGCTTTTATTGCTAATTGATTTAAGTATCGCTGATGTTAACCATGGCTCGTATTATTATTATATAATTTGATCGTGACTTGTTTTAAAGGGAAACATTCATTGTAGAAATTTGACACCTTATCTTCAAACTTATTATAAGAATCATTTGCATTATTGACATTAGTAATATCATCCCAGGTGTCATGTGAGAGGAGTTCTTTGAACTTTGATATATTTTCTACTGTATATTTTCTTATTGATCTTTTTATAAATTTAGTTTTGTTGATAGGCTTATTAGAAGTAGCAAAAATTGGGAAATGATCTAAGGTCAGGTCTCTCTTTAGTTTTTAGTGCACCATCAATAAAAAGAGCGGTCCCCCCTCCCCTGGTAGTACGAGATTTGAAAAAAAACTGATAATTCATGAAGTTAGAAAATGAGTCCTCTTGATCCTTATATAGCCAAGTTTCAGAAAGTGCAATAATAGAAATTCTCTTGTCAATTGATGCTAAAAATATTCAATAATCAATGTACAGAGATTATCATGTATGAGATACAGGATATTGGAATTATCCCAAGGATAATAGTAGAATAACGTAATTTCTAAGGGCAATATAGTGAAATATTGGACCGAGGGCCAAAGGCCCAAGGTCCGATATTTCACTATATTGCTCGCAGAAATGACGTTATTATTAGTATTATTACCACCGTTAACGACCACTACTGAAACAGCAATTTCCTAATTTCCCGGGGAAAATTGCCGGTCCAGAATATATTCTAGACTGGTCCATATGGACCACCACTATGACATCACACATTTCTCAGGTCGATATAGTAAAATCAATGCCTTCTAAACTAGCACTAAAACCCCTAGAACTGGCCCGGCAAGGTGGTAATAATATAATATATCTGCCTGCTCAGCCAGGACTAAAGCTACATCTTGCCTGCTAATGAAAATACAGTCATACAAACCTGCTTTATGATCTTCAAACACATCCAAGCATGGGATAAAATAGTGTATATCCTGCATGGTGTTTGTGAGTATATTCCATAGTAAGTTATTGTTCATGTCTATATTCTATGGATGGAATATAGTTTATCTCATAGCTAGTGATTGTTCTTTTTGATGCAATATGAATTCTATATAATTGTTTAATGAAGTAATTCCAGTGCTGTGTTTTATATTATTCACATCAATGTTCTGGTATTGTTAGACAGTTACAATCAGGTGATAGTTAGATGTGTCCTTTTGCCATCCTCATGCTGCCAATCTAGGGGCTCATGTTGTCTAATTGCATCCCTCACATGTTTGACTGAATCTAACAAGGATTGTAATAAGACATCACCACTGGAAACATTGTTTGGGAAGTCATCATCCAGTAGTTTCTGCCACCATTGTGTATCACTGCTGTGTTTGACATGTTTCAATACCCATAGTAGTACAGTCAGTTCCACACTGTTGCCATAACCATCCACAACCTCCACCTCCCTATCAGGGTAATATGTATCTGGTAGATAAATGAACTCACCACCTACACCTAGTCTGTATTGATTTGAGTCATCTTCATCTCTCCTAAATTGATTGAAAATGTATTCTACTACATCTTCAAAACATCTTCTTATACTAAAGTCAGATCGTGTGCAACATTTCTGATGATTCATGATGAGCAGTTTGCATGAGTAGGATGAGATGAGACCATATGGTGGGGGCTCATTGTAGATATGCCAGTGGATCCTGCTATACAGATGTGAAATGTATTTCAATACAAGGAAAAGCTGTTTATGATGTCCAGTAGGATTGTGTAACTGGTGATCAGGTGCTGGGTGTGGAGTCTGCACTATTGATTCAGTCCAGTGGATAGCAAAAGGACACTTACTACAATATGGATCTATAGGTACCAATACAGATCCCTCTGTCCCCTGCATACAGAAACAGAGATCTATATCTGTGGTACCTAATGGTCCTCCCACCCTCAGCCACACACTGGGTCCATGTAGACCTACATTCATGGAGAATTTCCCCAGTGTGTAGCTAGGGTGCTGTTCCTTCTTATGATATCTCTCGCCAATGTAGTGTGAACCATGAGTGTTCTCTAGGTAGGTGTGCATTGCAGCATGGAGACTTCCACTTATATTTGTTGTCAACCAGGAGACATCACCAGGAGCACCAAGGGAATCATGTGAGGAATGAGGAATTACTTCATAGGGAGAGTGCTTGATAAGAACATCATAAAATTTTGTAGAATGATGATCAAGTAGTAGTTGCTGCAGTTGTCCAGGGTGAATATTAACAACTCCATATCCCTGTCCTGCTAAGTCACAATCACCTCTAACATCACATACTTGAACTGAGGCATCATCAGACAGAGATAATGGATTTAGAAAGTCATACTCTGTTGGACTGATGATCTTTGTTTTATCAATGTAACTGCCACTGGGGATTGGCTCCTTGGTCTTGAATACTTCATTGTAGTCTCTAAAACCAGAACATATTGTCCTGACAAAGTCCGTAATGTATTTTGTATGATGCTCTAGCTCGGCCTCTGTATATTTATTAAAAATATCAACTTTTGCAGCGGTGATATTAACAAATTCTGTGAGTCGTGCATAACCTGGATGAATTGTTTTGTATTTTTCATTGAATGTTGCTCTTGCCATTGCCATTTTGACTAAGCATGAGGTGTTGCATGCAATTACCTTTATACAATTAAGCCCTACGGCAGGTTAACTACATATAGGCTCAAATATAAATTGATATCCACTTTCAGAGATAATTAGGTTCCGTTAAAGTGATCCTTCAAAAAAGGTTAAGGACTATGTTTAAGTTAAATTCACATAACAAAACGAGTTTGATTTATTATTTGAAAAAACTTTCTCTTTAATTTTTAACTTTGAATTCTATTTTTAACAGGACATTGGTAATTCATACAATACCACTGTATGTACTTAGCAATACTGTAGTTTATTTTATACTTTAATCATTGTTTCACAAATTATCATATAAGGAATAATTTACAAAGAGCATCTAACAAAAAACTCAGACCTATATCCATTACCTTAAAAGTAAATATAAATGTTCAAGAATTATTGAGACAAATACATTAACTAGTATTTGGTTTGCAAAGTATACTCTGGGTGCAAAGGTTAGTTCTTAAGTGACTTCTAAACAGTTCAGACAATTTTACAGTTTAAGGGCCCCACCCAAACTACTATTGACTGTCACATCTCGGGTCATAAATTCATTCAAATTGAATCATGGTCAATACCATATCTATGGCCGTGAAATGCAATGTAATACTATGATCTTAACATGGCATCATCAGTACTTTTTTAAAATTGAATTTTCCATTGAAAAAACACCATTTCGCAATATTTCATAGTTGATAATTTGGACCATGATTTTACTGCATTTGTTGATATTTGACCATGAAATAATAAATGCTTGAATTTCATTAGAGTGATATTCTTCCATTAGCATATGAATAACTCAGTCCTTATTGATGCACATGAGTGTAGTGATGTACATATTTTGTATATAGTTAGTAGTACTAGCATATGCTACAACACTAATCTAGATATGATATGATGGATGGAAGTCAGCACCATCTATCCTCTATTCTATTTTATACGCCAGGATATATATTTAAAAATAAATACAGGAAAGCTTCAAGACTTTTTGTCTGCATACAGTATAGATGGCATTGACTGTGACATGACTGTTCAAGAAGTTGTAAATGAACTAAGAAGTGAACACAAAAGTACCAATACTTTTGGAACAACCCCTTAAATGTTTAGTAATGTGCATACAAAATGGAATGATATGAGATGTCATTTTATGAATAGCAAATGCAGTGTACTTTTATTATAATTAATTGCTTATTAATTAATTAAATTATGTAAATAATATTTAGCACATTGATCGATTATAAACATAGATGCAGTGTATTAGAGAAAAATGCTTTAATAATTGCTCTAAACTAAAACTAAATTGTTACAACATTTTGATTCCTTTAAAATTCTTTAAATGTCCATGAATTTCTATAATTCATGAATAATCATGAACATGTTCATTTTCATTGAAATTCACAAAACTGATATCTATAACAAGTTAAAATCCACCACACTTTACATTAATATTAGTTCCAATAACAATAGAAACATTGTTAGATTATTTATACCACTAGAAAAATGTTGATTAGCTCTAAACAAAAATACTAAAATTAGCATTAAAGCTACTGTTAACTAAAGTGTCAAACTGAAGAAATTGGAATTCATGGCAAGTCCAATATGAAAATTATCAGTCAACTATGACTATAAAATAAGTCAAACATGACTATATTGTTAATCAGATGACTTTCATCATTTAACTATGACTACATTGTTAGTCAGATATGGACATTGATGATCAAATATGACTACATTGTTCGTTACATATGACTCTATGTTATTAGTCAAATATGACTACACTGTTAGTCAGACATGATTAATTCATTAGTTTAGTATGACTTATATAATATAATCAAATATGACTAATTTGTTAGATATAAATTGAAATAATCAAGAAAAATATTCTGAAACATTTATTATGCAAACAACACAAAAATGAAGCTCAAAGTTTTTATGCCTGTATATACTAAAATTGTGTGTTCTTATACATGATTCAAAGTATTGTACAAAACACAACATAAATAATCTATGAGCAAGGTGTGAATAAAAAACATGTAAAATAGATAGATAGATTTATGTATAAACGTATAAATGAGATAAAAACTGTTTATAGGGTGGAGTTAGATGACCATGAAATCAAGTAAGTTATTTTATAACTAAATCAAGAATTGCACTTTTGACTGAGATTTAATAACTCTTCATAAGGTCATTCAGGCTATTCAAACTAAGAGAGACCTAATATTAATGTAGATATAAATATTGCTGAAATACAGGTAATTTTCAAACCAGGATTAGACAAGAACTAATTTACCTCAAAATGATCTTAGATCAGAATTTTTAAATTTCAATTGTAATTTGAATATATTTCAGGAGACTTAAAATTTTGCCTGTTTCCTGTTTGCCTTTCTTAGGAAGAAAGGAGGCTAAACATATATTTAACTTTGAAAAACATTAATATAAATACAATAAGAACTATCTATTATATTTCTGAACTTTCAACAGAAAACTTACACTAGATTTCAAGGTCATACTAAATCATATTAACTATAACAACAAAGAAACAGCCAAATATAAAAGTGATGAAGCCAATCAAATATTAAAAATGCCAACAGGACTGGTATCCATGGCAACACAGAATTTGGATATAACTCAATACCTGTGGAGCTATTGTCTTCGTATTTCCCTTGGACTTTTAATCAGAAAATTCAGAGATTGAAATTGATTATGTGAAGCTGATGAATAACTGAATAAAATACTAATAGTGCGATGCCACTTAAATAAATATTTAGGCTGGTTACAAAGAAACATTTAGACAATTTGCATGCATGGTTGTAATTAAATAATTTTTTATGATTTATTTTGACATTTTAATTCCTATTTTATTCATGTATTTATGAGTTTTTTATTCCATTATGAATGACGTCTGCTTTCACAAAGGTCAAGGTCATATACTCACGGGAGGATCTTCTTTGAACACCTTCTTTACTCTTTTCATGATTCTGTCCTGTTTAGCGTCATTAAACCCAGCATACTGCAGTAGTATTTCTGCAAAATCTTTCTCGCTGATTTTATTTTCTTCATCTTTCTCGTAGCGTTGAAACTGAAAATAACAAGTGAGATTTTCATCACGAGGATGCAAAAATGTGGAGAATGTTTCTGCTACTGTAAAAATATTTCATTTCACTTTTCAATTTAAATACAGGATTTACATTTTTATCAAATAAAATGACAATATTCCTCAATCTCTTATAAATTATAAATCAAAATATAAAATAACATACATAAATCTATATATAAATCCCAAATCTAATACCTCGATTTTTAGCACTTCATCCTGAAGCTGTTTTTGAAACTCCAAGAACTCATTAATTGTAAGTTTCTTGTCAAATTTCTTGCCAAAGAAGTATATAGAAAGAGCAGAGTTCATTCCTTTCAGGGTGCTTCCAGTGGTTGAATGGTCTCTGTGCCTCTGGCCTATGCTTGTCTGGGACCTGATGATTGTTTGAACCTAAAGTGAACATACAATAAATAGTGAACATACAATAAATAGTAATGCAATACAAGAAATTAATGATTAATCATTATACTTTCCTCTGACTGTAAGAGTGAACATACAATAAAGAGTGTACATTTATACAACAAAAAGTGAACATACAATAAAATGTGAACAAACAATACAAGAAAGTATTGATTAATCTTTATATGCTTTGCTTGAGACTGAAATTATTAGGGGTGAGCAATATAAAAACTCACCTTAGCAAATTCTTCCACATCTACATCACCATCCCCGTTGAAGTCAAACATACGAAATGCTATCTCGAACATACGTTGTGGCGCTGAAAAAAACAAGTTGCACAATATTTTGAAAAGTGATATGCAATATGTGAGAAATACTAAAAGAACATAAAGAAAGTTCAAATAATATGGTCTAATTATTTTTGGGGCTAACTTGTAGAATGTAGAAGGCAATTTGTGAGGGCACCACTGGCAAAACCTCAGGCCTTGCAAAGAAGGGCACAAAATTCTTGGAGTTGTTGCTGATTTTCAAGCTTGTTTTTATTTTTATCAGGTCAAAGGGGTACAAGAAGTTCTCTAACATAGTTTTTTCATGTACATCACAAAATACATTCCACAAATGTGTTTTTAAGATATGCTGTTGAGTTTTTGATTTTATATCCTTCAATAATGGATATACAGTTATTACAGTTACAGTTATATAATCGAGTTGAGTAAGCGCTTACTTGACAGCAAAGTGAGCAGGAAGATGTAGTCGCTGAATGAAATGAGGCCACTCTCCCCCAGTTTGTAGAATATACTGTCATGTTCCAGTTTAGATACAATCTTCTGAGTCTGTAAAAACATGTGACAAGAAATGTGTTATATTATTGACAGTTATTTAAGAAATATAGACTGAAGTGCAGGGGTAATATCATCGAATACATCCGGCAGGGCTAGACACAAACATTCTCTTCAAAAGCTTTTGTGCCTAGCCCTAAGGGGTGTATTTGACGATATTACCCCGGCTCTAAGGTCTATATTACAATTCTAACATGAAAACTCACCAAAATGTATTGAATATTCATTATGGTATGCCATTACTACGGCACGCCGTTATGACGTCACATATTACAAGTATTACCTGGGGTATTGTTTTGGAATATACCCTGGTGAAATGTTGGCTTTGTTCACTGTTTATAGAAGGCGTGAATACAGTCATGTTCAAATAGTTTAAGCCCCCTCCCAAACAAAATATGTTGATTTGACTTTCAGCTGTATTTTTCAAAAAATCGACATTCTTTCTCCCAATAAAATAAATCACTGTCAAGAGATTATAACAAAACATTGAAGACATAAGTTTTTCTTACGTTGGGCGAATTCATGAAGGATAATGCAATAAGACAAAAGCAATGTGGCAAAATCATTAATACTTATTGAACACGCAATACATATATCCAATTTGCTCTGTCATTTTAAGTTCATGTAATAAGACAAATGTAACTTCATGAACACCATATCAACACAATAACGTGAAATTTTTAAACAATTAACTTACTTTAGGATCAAATTTTTTGAATTGATCCAATCCAAGATTCTCTGGTTGTTTCACTCCTGGCGTAATTGAGCGCACAAAATCATCAGGGGTCATATAGATCTCACTTTCACCATGTTCAGATTTTACTTTCAGTGTTGCAAAGTAACGAAATATCTTGTCTGGAGTTGAATAGGCACGGATCCTGTCTTCGTATTCTATGATCTGAAAAGAAAAGAAGTCATAACTCAGAATAGATATCAGTCTTCATTATAAACATAGTAAGATAAAGCAAAACCTACAAATATGAACACCTCTAAAGTAACAGGTAGTCTTTTTGGGAGAAGTTGTGACTATAAAGTCAAAATGGAATGATACACCATGTCAATAAAGCAATCGGCAAAGCCAAGGTTACAACAGTCACTTGGCCCCAGGTTCAATTCCTGGTTCAGACCAAGTTTCAGTGTTACGTAATTCTGGGTGTTTGACTGGGTGGTCCACAACTTGTATAAAAGTTACAGTGTGTATGCAGGCCCATAGTCAAACCCCCCACCCCCAGATTTTTTGAAAAGTGAACCCCCTTGGCAAAGCTGGCAGGGTACTTGCGCGTGCAAAAGATAACAGGGCTCTGCAAGTATAAATATGAAAAATATGGAATATACCAATAAGGTATTCCTTACCAAAAATATGGTGGAATCCAAAATACAATACAATGCATAAATAAGAATGTTTATTATATAGGTAAACAGAAACCCCAGGCATGTGAACATTTTTCAGAGGTCATTAATTCTAACTTCTAGCTAGTAATTAAATTAGCTCCCAAATATTGTAACACTTTGTAGCATATATTGTTAAAAGAAAATTCAGAGTCAAAAAATATGAATGTATAAATTCATGGTAAAATACTTTTCGTCTGAAACAATTATTGATGATTTTGGGGATATTTACCTCTCAATTAAAACTACCCGTAGTTCACAAATCATGTCTGGTGTGTGGCTAAATACTCATACAGTGGCTCACTAGATCTGATATATCCTTTTACAAAAAGTAATGATTTTACCTTTCTGTCTCTGAATCCAACTTTTTTCTTTTTCTTTTTCTGTCCTCTTTCTTCTAGCTCTTCAGTAGTATCACCATTACTCCCGACAGCCTCTTTTTCAGCTGCGTCAACTTTCGGGAAAGGGGAAGACTTCCCCGTTGTTTCTTCTGATGTAAGATACTCTTGTATGGGTTCAAGACTGCAAAAAGTTCATTCAGGATCTTTACACATTGTTTTTTTCACAATGAGAAAAAGTTGATCACAATTTCTTAGTGGAATATTCTATTCACAATTTTTCTTAAATGCTGACAAAGTTTAATCAAACTAACCCGATTAAGAAAATGTCCCAAATTGGTCAAAGTATCTTAATTTTTCATGATTTTACAAAATTTCAGTGAGTCCAAATTCCTTTTATACTTGGTACAAATAGGCAGAGATAAATAAAATAAATAAATTGAACATGAAAGTCATTAATGCAATAAAAAATACAGTGAACTCCGAAAACAGAAGCCAGCTTTAGAGGGCTCCCGCCCAAGAGGGGGCAGTGAGGTCGCTTTTGTCACTTCACATACCCCTTGGGGAGCTCCCTTTAGAGAAACTAACGATGACATTCGAAATGATAACTTTTTATTATGGCTTATTAGATTATAAGCCTTTTAAAGTGTTTATTTTTATTGTAAATACCCACTAATTGTACTTACCCATTAAAAAGCAGGACAAACGTTATCATGGAGCCTAACCATAGTGAGTACAATTTAGAGAACCTTGACTGCCTCCGTCTTTTAGCAAAATTTGTGTACACATTTTTATGTCTGAGTTGTATGATTTGAACTGAGCGTGGTAAGTTCCTGTATGATTCTAGATTATTTGTCTGTTGATTATTTGCAATATACTGCTGATAGGCACGTTGAATGGCAGATGTGCTCCGTTGGTGGATACAACGTGACTGCAAAGTAAACTGGCTCGCCCAAATAGGACTTTGTAAAGTAAACACTGATCGCCACATTTTCAGTAGTTACCTGGAATAGCAATATACATGAAAAGATTAATTCTTCTAAATTTAAGGTGTTGCACTGTTCTCTATGCTTATTAGCTTGGGGCTCCTACGACCATGGGGTTATTTTGACTCATTTGCCTCAACGTAGCTACCCGCTTGAAAACTATTCACCAATATACATTTTTCCACTAAATATGAAGAAAATCCTAGGGGTCCTAGGCTGAACCCTCAAATATCAATATATTTCCATACCAAAATGTCAAATTTGGATGTGTTCCCATACCAACCAATATATATAGTGCCCAAAAGCTATATCAAATGCCCAAATATGAGACCAATGCCATACCAAATGTCTAAATACAGGACCAATGCCATACCAATGCATTGACTGGTCCAAAAAAGAATATTTCCCGGAAAAAAGCTAATATTTAAACTGAAGAAGGTCTCTAGAAGAAGGCGATCTCTGAAGAAAACATTTAAAACAACCTCAAATTAAGGATATGTGTAACTACTAGAACAATGCCATACCACAAGTGTGAGAAAACATATTTTCCATAACCATTCTCATACCAGAAAGTGGAAAAATCTGACCATTGCCATACCTCAAAGTCATAATGTGGAGACATTCTCATACCACATCCTAAAATTTGGGTCCATTGCCATACCAAATGTCAAAAAAGGTACCCCATGTGTGCCGAGGATCCCCGTCGTGTCAAGGTTTTTATACAGTGAACCCCCGGGGAACACCTAACATGAGTGACTTAAAACATTGAACACATTCCTTCTAATTGTGGACACCTTGGTTTTTTTACCTATCAGCATTTAATAAAAAGCAAATTTTTTTAAATATCAACATAATGCGTGATTTGCGTGACATTTTATCATCCACGCAAAATTGATGCATGATTTCAATTTTTCCAGCAAATGTGTGACAATCACGTTTATGCGTGAGGGTTGACAAGGCAGTGGAGGGCTTCACTATATCCAAACTTTGTTCATTGGGATAATAACATGTGACCCTATTGAGGAATGCATCAAAATGAATTTTATTTTTGCTAAAAATTTTTGCAGAGGAGGAATTTATTTCTCTGTTTTAGGTTTGTTATTCAAACTATATTCACTTATTATAAAAAAGCCAAAGTAACCATAATGTGAAGATTATGTACTATCGAGTTTTATTGATTATAGCTTTAACATACATGCAGAAGCGAGATGAATGTTTGGTCTAAAAATAAAAACAAAATTTTACAAACTTTAGACTTTTGGGCGATAATCGTTTCTATTTCCGGTAAATCAACCAAGATATGTCACAATATATTTGGACTTTTTATGTTAACTTTAACAATATTTTGGATGTTAAACATGAAGCTAGAAATAATAGCTTAATTGGACAACCTTTGAATTAGTTAAATAATTTAATATTTTATCAAAAAAATCTGATTTTACAGTTTATTTGCAACTAATATTAATTGCAATATCCTTAGACATATCTTCGTGGTTTGGGCGAGTTTGGGCAAAACCCTAAACCAATCAAAAGCTCTGTTTTAGAAAACCCCGCCATTTGATAAGATTGGCGCCAAATCAGAGACATTTCCCGGGTTTTTACGTCGTCTTTGTTATCGTCAGAATCTTCTTGGATTATTGTTGGATATTCTCTTCATTTGTTATCAAATTGAAGATTAGCCTTTTATCTAAATTATTGGATATATATTTTACAAAAATACACAACATTTAACATGTTTGAGGCACGTCTTGCACAAGGAGCTGTCCTGAAAAAAGTATTGGAATCCGTGAAGGATTTGTTGACTGAAGGAATATGGGACTGTCAAGGAACAGGAATGAGCCTACAGGCTATGGACGCTTCTCACGTTGCCTTAGTTGCTCTAAAACTCCAGTCCGATGGCTTTGATACATACAGATGCGACAGAAACCAATCAATGGGAATTAGTTTGACAAAGTATGTTTATTTTCAAATTGTATTTATTTTGACATCTCCAGTTTTGTTCATTCAATCTCAGATTCAGAACCAAATTTTGATTCTAAGCATTGTTGTTACCAAAGAATGTCACTTGTTTTATCTTTATAATCCATCTTGTCCATACATATAATTTTGTTTCCACCCAAAAGTTTCGAAGAAGATCCATTGGGCCCGATCTGTTCAAGAACAGAATGCTATTTTGCACAGTCCCTTATAAGTTATATCCAATGCTCATCTTATCTCTTTCAAAATCTGGCTTACTAACAGCTTTCACATGCTGCCCATCACCCGCTTCAGAATCGTGATGGCTAAAAGTGAAAAACTGAATTCAGCTGCTTTATCCTCATATGTTTCCTTTATCGCTGGCTTTGGTTTCTGAAACTATCAAAAAAAGGGAAATTTACGAAGTGCTGATCAACTCACACAAGATTTTAGAAAGAATATTAGAAAGTTTTGTTCAGAACATTGTAAGCTCTCATTCGGAAATCTTCTGAGATTTTGAATTGTACAGAAAACACCATTTTGGTTTGAAAATATTCACAATGTAACATAGTCTGATGACATGGAACATACTGGTATGTAGATACTGTACTCCCTGTCAATTTCGCGAATTTTGAGAAAAAACGACTCGCCGCTATTAAAACTCGATACATTTCAAGGCTTTGAGTACATGAGTAACACGTCCAAAATTGATTGACTCGGGAAAAGATCTTATGTTATGTTTATTTGGTCAAAATCCGCTAAATAAACGAACGATATTCTATTTCTAAAAGAATATTTTCGCCGAAGTTTCTTTTTCGGAAGTTGATTTCCGATCGAAATAGTACGATAATAGGACAATCACTAAGTAGTTGCTACAGTACTGATTCGACAGTACCAATCGGTCAATCATATGATTGGCCGCTATTATTAATCGCGCATGTGTCTTAATAATTTTAACTAATCAAATTACTGGTCACTGGATTTGTTGCACATGCACAGAAACAGAACTAATGAAAGCACTGACTTGCTATGTCATCTTGGTGAACGACACGCTACCCCTTAACCTCTATTGCATCGTCATTTTTGGGTTTATCTGATCCAATAATCCACTGTAACAGACCATATGGACTGGTTTGCGAAATAAAAAATTAGGGTTTACACAACATATTAAGTTCTAAACAGCTGAAGCTAACCCTACTATCACACCAAACTAGTTCTTACTACGTTCTCGAAAACGGGCTTCAACTGTGTACGAACGGACTGGACGTACTAAGAACCGTTTAGAATCTATTTACAAACTTCATCGAACGTACTCGAACGGGTAGGTACTCTAGAACTTAGACAATGCTCAAAATGTTCTCGTGGTCGTCACGTTCTACAATTAGAACAGTGACAACGTACTAACGACGAACTGGACGTACTACGAACGGAACCGTCGTACTTCAATCCTACTAGGGACGTTTTAACAACGAGTTGAACTGTCTGAGGACGTGTTGAGAACGAGGTAGAACTCATTGCAAACGGGTTTAAACTGATTAAGAACGTATTTAACATTGCTTATGAACGAGTTAGCAAAACTATAGCTATCACACCAAATAAGTTGCCACTGCGTTCTTCAAAACTTGTTCTAAACTGTGTGCGAACGGAATGAACGTAGCTACAACTTTCTAAGGTCTATTTACGAACTTTATGAACGTTCTCAGACGGGAATGTGATTTTAGAATTTTGAATCGATTCAAAATTCGATTGCGACCATACCGTTCTGTTATCAGGTCATGATGACCTTCTAGACTAAGGGACGCATTCTACGGCGTTGCACACCGACGTGGTGCGACCTGAACGAACTGCGAACAAGATGGACGTATTGAAGACTGTTTAAGAACGAAGAAGCTAATTATTTCAGACATATTTCCCGACCACAGCCAGATTGAGCCCGTTTTACGACGTTTTCGTAGGACTGGCAAGAACGGGTAAGAACGAGTTTGGTGTGATAGGGGGGTTACAGACTCACAAACGTTGGATGTTCATATAGAAAACATTTTGAGGTATAAAGTAAGCTGATTTCAGTTTTTTTCACTTTTAGCTGTCACATGTCTGAAGGTTATAAGGGATGTGTAAAGACTGTTCTAACAGATCAGTCAGTCTTTGAAAAAGGTAATGACCATTGATTCCTTGATTTGGGTTTATGACATCATGATCAGCGTATACCAGAACAAGTCACTTGGGCCCCAATGAAGTCAAATGGGGCCCAAAAAAGGTACGCTACACATCTTGAGATGACTTATGCCTTATTTCCATAACTGTATTTTCAGTATGTCGAAAATCCTGAAGTGCGCTGGCAATGACGATGGAATAACTATAAAAGCTGTGGACAACTCAGATACTGTGTCATTTATGTTTGAATCACCTAACCAAGAAAAAGTATCTGACTACGAACTTAAATTATTAAATATCGACCAAGAACACTTAGGCATTCCAGTAAGTACATGGTCTGCATATTGTATGTAAGGATAGTCTGGTATATGAGCTTCTAATTTTGCACATCTACAATTCTCATCTTCAGGTTTGATCTAGTTCTATTTAAATGTAACATGAATAATTCAATATACTACTGTACTGAACTTATTATTTTCATCGGGGGTTTCATTTCTGTCATCTTCAGTTGTAAGAAATTGTGCTACATTGGAAAATGAAAATTTTGAATAATTTTTGTCTGTTTACATAATTGTTAAATTTATATTCAAATGATTTGATTTACAAAATTACAATACAATTTATATAAAACTGTATCATGTATTATGGTTCATCATAATTTGGCGATTAATACAATTGACGTTTTCTGTTTTTCAGGAGACCGATTACTGTGCTGTTATTAAGATGCCCTCTGGTGAATTCCAAAGAATCTGCAGGGATCTGAGTCAAATTGGAGAATCAGTGGTCATTGCATGCACAAAAGAGGGAGTCAAATTTTCATCAACGGGAGATATGGGAACAGGTACATATTTTTATTTAGTATTTTGGATTTAATCATGTTTTTAAAGTGAAATCTGTGTTAGCAGGGTATGCCCTAAGGGCCGGTCATCTGGTCATTACGAGGTATAATAACCAGTTGGTTTTTTTTCACGAGGTATGGAAAATAACATTGCAACTGGTCCGTGGTGCTATTTTGACCAGCAGCTCTCAGATCGTTAGGGTATACACTGTGCGTAAGTGGGTACCTCTTTAATGTGAATACAGTTATTGAAATTGATCGCCTGGTGAATACATATATTCTGCTACGTGGTATATTTCCTTACTAAAGTGTAAATGATAAAAACTTAAATATTAGGTCATGGGCTAGCCCTTAAATTGCGGTATGGAGGTAGAATTTTGGAGACCATGTTAATTACATCCTAATTTGTAATTCTCACCACAATTTGGCAATAATTAAGCAAAATTTTACAGCGTTTAGGAAAAAATCAATATTTATACCCCCCGCATGACAAAAGTAGGGGTTACATAGAAAATAATTAATAACTTTACAAAAACATTATGAATAACCACAATTCTTTCAGAATATATACACATATATGTCATTGATAACTGGTAAAAAATTGGTGACTATAGGTATGATGGTTGTTATGGAAACAGAATTTGATTGTCAAAATTTGCTAATTTGTGTCTATTTTGGGCGGGCTAGTTAACGAAAAAATCCTATGGTAGCCAGTTATGCTGCAAAAATAGCATTGTTTTAAGGTTTAGAAAATTGCATATATATGTCCTGCATGCATTAAAATTGGAATGATGATTGAGTCTCAATCAGAAATATTTTTAATTTTTTTTTCTATGACCCACCCCCTCTAAATAATCAAAAGTGGGCGTGGCATTTAACTGAATGATCAAGCCTACTTAACAGTAGATAACTTCAATTGTATAGCCAGTATTATCACAATTTCAACAGAAGGTATGATTCTTGTATCAGTTAACATTTTCTATGATTTTTCTATCCCTCCTCAATATTTGTAACCCCTCCCCCTCCTCCACCACCCCTCCCGCAGGACAAAAGTAGGGGATACATTGAAAATGATTAATAACTTTACAACAATGCAGCAAATAACCACCAATTTTTCAGACAGAATAAATGTATATGTCATCAGTAATTTGAAATAATTCTTGGTGATGATGGTTCTATGGAAACAGGATTTGATTGTTGTGAATTTGTGTAGATTGGGTGGGGGGGGGGCTAGTTTATGAAGAATCATATCCTAGTAAATTCTGCTGCAAAATACCATTGTTTTAAGGTTTAGGAACTGTGTCCTTTATATATTAAAACTGAAATAATGATAGGATGTCATTCACAAATAAATTTTTTGATGAGATTATAATAATAGGTGACATTAACAAACTTTGATTTAGCGGCAGAAAAGAAGGTCTATAATATTGCCCAATCCTTTAATGTTTCACTGCAATGCTTTCATTAGATTGGGGACATTCCATACCCTTTTGTGCTGTGGGAAAATATATGAGATTAAGGGTTCGATGACATTCTTATAGAATCTTAGATATTTGCAGTTCAATTGATGGTAGTGGAAAACACTTCAACAAGGCCTTCAGAGTTCATGAAGTCAGAAATGAGGAATTGGAATCCTTGTTGATTTCAAAATTCCATGAATCTGGAGAGTATTCAGCTTACTTATCGTATGATCTGTAAAATGAAACCCTCTGATTGGTCAGTTCTTGTTCTGTACCAATCTGTATTGCTACTGAGATTGTCCTTATTGATCATCTCCTTAGCAATACAAAAAATATTGGGACGGAGGGGACAATCTCAGTAGCAATACAGAATATTTCATAGGAATTACCTTCTGAGTAAAATGTATTGGCCTAAGACCACACGATAAAAACGTTATAGAATGATTTGAGGTGCAATACAGGATATATTCTGCTCTCAATATTATGTATTGGCACTCGACTTTGTCTCTTTCCAACACAGAATTTCTCGAGCAGAATATATACTGTATTGCATTTCAAATCATTCAATAACTTATATTACTGCTACTTCAACTAAAGCCTTAGTTGATATTGAAAACAATGAGTTATCACAAAGTACCAAACATGTAAGAATGACATGAAGAATGGAAAGTTTGGAAAGACTGTCCAATACTGAGTTACATATCAGAACATGATTGATATATCACTGTACTTTGAAACACCAGAGAATGGAACATCAGCCAGTTGACGAAATGTGGAAATTTGGCTACTTGGTAAAAGGACATGTTGCCACAAACACTTTCACTGTTTTGTAAGTTGTGACACACCCTTCTCCCTGGATAACTGCAATTTGCTTTTTGCTAAGCACCATAGAATCTGTCCTCGTGGACTTTCCATGATTCCATGGCTCTCCATGAGTTTTTATTACAAACTGAATGGTGTTTCTTCATCTTGATTTGGGCGCATCAAATGATTTAGTATTGATCCTAATACGGGCATTTAACAAATTCTTAAGAAGCAATAGTTCCTAACACTGGGTGGATTTTTTGACTTGAGTAAGTGCTGGAAGTCCTGATGATATGCATAGGAGTCTTGATACTGTGATATCAAATGGATTGATAAACACCACCAATCTGCACTCATGGTACATTAATAGTACCGTACAGTGCCATTCTATTATGGTGGTGTACAGTGTCCATGGTACTGTACAATACTATTTTAGTCTGGTACCATATATTACCATACCATACAGTACCATAGCCCAAACAGTACCATAACATACTGTTGGAGATACACAACTGAATGTAATTTTACGGTACTGTTGCCTGTGAAGCTGTCAAATGGACGTTAACTGTTATCTTCATCATTGATCATCATAAACAACATGTTTGTGACTGAATCTTTTTAAAACCAATAAGGAACTTTGCGTGCCTGTTGATTGTTGGTTGTATTGTTGAGGTTTTGATTTTGACAGCATTGTACCTACCCCGTGACCTCCTTTTATGGTACATCCCCCCCATCATCTAGCTGAGATTTGACACCAGGAAATATTGTATCTACGCTAAGCAATGTCAGAAGATACATTATATTGTAGCAGGCATGGTTCTGATGATCAGAAGTGATGAAGATATGTATTATTTTGGTTTATATCACAACCCAATGAGGTGTGTATAAATGATTAACTTTCCTGTTATCTCAAAATCTGCTTGGAACTATACCATAGGATTGCTATGGGAATTCCTCAAAGAGAAAATTGTAGGGAATAAGGAATGGGTACCATTTACACGATTTGAGAAATTATTGGCATACATTAAACCTATTTTAAAACAGCATTTATATGATCATAATCAATGATTCCTAGCCCTCTGAAGTTTGAAAAATAAAAACCTGGGTGTTAATCCATAGATAATCCTTGAAAAGAGAAATATCTTTTGAGGATTATATGGTGCAGTTTTATAGTCAATAAAATGGTTTAAAGTGTATTGATGTTTTTAACCCGATTCATTCTACAAACAACATGCGGTCCTTTGTTTGACAATCGAATCCTTTTTCCATAGCAACCATCAAACATATAATCACCATAATCTTTTTCCAGTTACTTATGACATATACATGTGTAATTTTTAGTATGTTAAGACGAGGGGAGTGGCATAAATATTTGGGGATGAACAAAATGATAAAAAGTTAACTGGTGCCTACATTGTGTAGAAATGTTGAACTATTAAGTAGGTTTGATCATACAGTTAAATGTCACACTCACTTTGGATTATAAAGAAGGATAGGTCATAGTGAAATCTAAAAAATCTAATTGAAACCCAATCATCATTTCATTTTAATGCATGCAGGACATACATATGCAGTTTTCTAAACCTTAAAACAATGCTAATTTTGCAGCAGAATTCGCTAGGATAGTATTCTTTGTGAACCAGCCCCCCCCCCCTCCCAATATCTTCACAAGTTGTGACGATCAAATCCTGTTTAGAAACTATCATACCTATAATTACCAAGAATTTTTTCAATTACTGATGACATATACATTTATCCTGTCTGAAAAATTGATGGTTATTCGCTGCATTGTTGTAAAGTTATTAATCATTTTCAAGGTATCCCCTACTTTTGTCACGCGGGAGGGGTGGTGGTGACGAAGGAGGGGTTATAAATATTGAGGGGGATGAACAAAATCATATAAACTGTTAACTGATACCAGAATCCTACATTCTGTTGAAATTGTGATAATACTGGCTATACAATTGAAGTTATCTACTGTTAAGTAGGCTTGATCATTCACTTAAATGCCACGCCCACTTTGGATTATTTAGAGGGGGTGGGTCATAGAAAATTTTTTTAAAAATATTTCTGATTGAGACTCAATCATCATTCCAATTTTAATGCATGCAGGACATACAGAGGTGGCGTTAACGCAATTTTTTACGTTTTTTACTCACATTTTTGCAACTCTGACGCAAATATTCATTGTCTACCGAGTCTTTCTGACGCACGTTTGTTTCACATGCAAAATCCCCGCTTGGTACTTGGTTAAATTGATCCCTATACGTGAAAATACGTGATTGATCAAATTTATAATTTTGCTAATTCCGGAAATCTAACATTTCGTTCAGCGCAATCGAGCCTCCTTCCTACCGATCATTTTCTTATTTCGGTATTTCATATAATTTTTAAAGCCCTGTGATTCAGATTCAATGATAAACTTGAAAACATTGATCGATCCCTCGATTTGTTTATCTCGTGTGCTAGGGGGCGTATCAAAAATGCAATAAAACGAACATAACATTGAACAATAATTTATTAATTTCATACTCCCTTCTAAGGATTTTAGTGATCGTATATTTATCTAAATTACCGCATAAAATCTTTCCTTGAATGTTCACACGCTAGATTTACGAACCTTTAGTTTCCTTCGCAAGTTCGCAAAATTCCTTCGCTAAGTTAGCAAGTTTCCTTGAGCCGTCCACTTCATCAGCATGCGCAGATGTAATGCGCAGTAGGTTTATCAATGGTGCTCACAGTGACCGATCTATCGTAAGTTTTCACCAAGTATTTTCAATTAACTCCCTCAAGTTAAGATCTTCGATTCACTAGATCTGAAGCTGATCCTATGAAGATAGATAATGGGCACATGAAAATCCAGTCGATCGCACATTAAGGGGGGTAATGATGATAAATTAGGTATGAAAACAAATCTACTTTCGGTTTCATTTTATAATTACAAGATTCTACCGTATTCAATTTAAATGATGCCCAGTATTGTGGTCGGACTTATATTGCCGTTTTAGACTTTGGAATGATTGCAAAAATGTTGAATTTCAACATGAAACGCTTTGACCCCAATTTGTGTAACTCCACACAGGGAGAAACTCCTCTCCCACTCCATTCACACCCATGACTCGCTGGACCAGATAATCAGATGATTAATAGTGACATTTTTCTTGCAATTGCCTAATTAATTAATTGTTAGTTGTTAATGTGCTATAAGAGTACAATAAAAGGTATGCACAAAATCAAAAAATAGATTTTGTATGTGGTTTCTACATTTTGTATGCATTTTTACTCAAGAAAAACACTTTTATAGCTTTGACTCAACTTTTTTTCTTGTGACTCGCTTTTTTGAAACTACCTGAGTCATGATGACTCACAAAAATATATGCCTACCGCCACCGCTGACATATATATGCAATTTTCTAAACCTTAAATCAATGCTATTTTTGCAGCATAACTTGCTCACAAAGCATTTTTTCGTTAACGAGCCCCCCAAAATAGACACAAATTAGCAAATTTTGACAATCACATTCTGTTTCCATAGCAACCATCATACCTATAGTCACCAATTTTTTACCAGTTATTAATGACATATATGTGCATATATTCTGAAAAAAATGTGGTTATTCATAATGTTTTTGTAAAGTTATTAATTATTTTCTATGTACCCCCTACTTTTGTCATGTGGGGGGTATAAATATTGATTTTTTCCTAAACGCTGTAAAATTTTGCTTAATTATTGCCAAATTGTGGTGAGAATTACAAATTAGGATGTAACTAGCATGGTCTCCAAAATTCTACCTCCATACCGCAATTTAAGAGCTAGCCCATCACCTATATATACTGAGAGGAGGGTACCCTTAAGAAAAAAGCCATGGTAACCATGGTATTCCATGGTGCGCCCATGGTAATCCATGGTTTTCCATGGAAATTCATGGTTTTCCATGTTATTTTCCATGGAAATTCATGGACGCCCATGGTGATCTTCCATGGATATTTACCATGATTTTCTGCGGTAATTGGTGGTTTGATAATTGGTTTTTAATGGATGTGTCATGGCTTTTACCATGACATATGGAGATGTAAAATCAACAATTTTGGTAGGATTTGTATTTACCAAAATCTCCAAAATGAATGTTTTGAAACAAAATGAATGAATGTTTTTAAAAATCAATATGAAATAATTTAATAAAAGTAAATTTTCTTAAATTACATTTCGTACATTTGAGAATACAATCAAAAACCATGGTTTCTTTCTTTGAAGTTGAGGAAACTGCAATCAAAAGCCATGGAAGTCGGTTGATTGCAATCGAAAGCCATGCTTTTCCATGATTATTTCTTTGATCTTTCGGAAAAAGCAATCAAAAGCCATGGTTTTCCATGGTTATTCTTTTGATCTTTTGAAAGTCCATGGTTTTCCATGGGCTATTTGTTTGGTCTTTTGGATGCAGAAAAAAGGAATAATACATTATGTTTCTACATGAACTTCTCCAAATTAAGTCCCATTCAACTTTTATAAGCATATTATCTCTCAAATTAATGTTAAAAAAATAATCTCTTTGTAACAGATTACAATAGTTCATTTGTGCATAATTCTTAAATACTCTGATCTTAATTGGTATGATATATGATAATCTTACTCTTTCTAATGCTCCCTCTTCAGTAATTATTATTGTCTGTGAGTGTAGACAGATCAAGTCAAAAACTCATTGTTGATCAAATACGAGGGGTGGTCAATAAGTAATGGACGCTTTTTTACACGGATGCTTTTTATAGACCAATACCTTCCATTTTCTTACCAGTGATACATCATTCAATTATCTATCAACTCTGAAAATTTCACAACAAAACATGTAATACATTTTGATATATCTTCATTTCCGTGAAGGAGGTATAGGTACCCCGGGACCGACATTTACGTCAAACATTCTGAAGTTATTTTAGCTTGTTTAACATGCAACGCAGTTGAATGTAGGCTGAACAAAACAAACCATTATGGTCATGAATTACCCCGTTTTGTTATGCCATAGTTGATTTTGTCATCATTATGTGGTATTCATGTCACATTCATTCTACAGGGCCCTCTACATAGGTTCCATCAAGTGCTACATGTACACAATTCCTCATCCTCTTAACTCAAGATTGTGAGACAAGGCTGAATCCATTCTCTGACATAGTAGCAAGATGCAGTTGCACGGTTGTTTTATTTCATCAATGTCAATAAACACGCGTCCCTTCTCTATAGAAATAAGTAGTATAGGAATAAATAAGTCACATGTGGGCAGATCTGGACAATATGGTGCAATGGCCAAGGGCTCAATTTTGAGGTCCAGGGATATTGTTTTCTGAACATTTCGAGATATGTGGGCAGGTGAATTGTCCAAATGGAGTGGGGTGTTTACTTCTCTCACCAACCCCTATTCCACAATGCTTCCTCAAATTGACCTGCAAACCCCCACCATACAACACTGTGACATCACATCACTCACTTTTTACGTGTAACCAGTCAGCAAAATATTTGAAACATCACATCACTTGTTGCATATAAAAAAGTTTAAATGTAACTGAAATTTGCCTAACTGGCTAAAAACTGAATATGTGACATAAATGTCAGTCCCGGGGTACCTGTACCTCCTACACAGAAATAAGGATAGATCAACATGTATTATATACTTTGTCTTCAAATCTTCAGAATTGATAGATAATTGAATGATGTATAGCTGGTAGGAAAATCAAAGGGATTGGTCCATAAAAAGTATCTGTGTAAAAAAGCGTCCATTACTTATTGATCACCCCTCGTAAAAGCAAATAGGATTGTAAAAACATGGTTGTATTTCAGGCCTGAAACCAGCTTTTGTCAAGAAGGTTGACTTTCTCAAAAATTTGAGGGGGAGGGGCGTCATATTCTTCTCTCTATGATCAGTCTCAATCCAGCTTGGATTCATTCGTCAAAATATTGATTCAATTTTGAAGAATTTGGTAAAAACAAAACATGCCAAAATTGTCAAGTGTCATGGTAAAAACACGGCATGTCCATGAAAAAACAATTACCAAACCACTAATAATTACCACGTAAAATCATGGTAAATATCCATGGAAGATTACCGTGGGTATCCATGAATATCCATGGAAAATACCATGAAAAACCATGAATTTCCATGGAAAACCATGGATTACCATGGACGCACCATGGAATACCATGGTTACCATGGCTTTTTTCTTAAGGGTACAAGAATAAAAATAGTCTAGATATATAGAAATGCTTATTTATTCAATCCAGGTAATATAAAACTTGTACAAAGCGCCAATGTAGACAAAGAAGAGGAGTCTGTACAAATAGAGATGCAAGAGCCAGTGACGCTTACATTTGCCCTTCGTTACCTGAACTTCTTCACAAAAGCCACTCCCCTATCATCTGTCGTATCACTCTCCATGTCTGCTGATGTTCCATTAGGTAAGTCTTGCAATACATTTGGTAATGCGCTGTCAGCATGTTAAGTTACTACTTACAGCAGATACCTTATATGCTTAAATGATAGTTACAAGGCAGTGTTCTCCCCAAAAAGAATTTTCAACTGGGTGCAAGATTTCAAGTCTGAAAAAATCAGCACTCGCTACGCTCACAATATCTCAGTGTAGGTGCTTACTTCACTCAAATCAGAAGTTGAAGTGGAGATTCCAACTGGGGGGCCTTTGGTTTCAAGTAGGGGGATCCCCGGTAAAAGTGACATTGGGAGATCACTGCAAGGTTAAGTTGATGGCTGCTTATTTTGGCAAATTTAGCTAAGTAAATGCCAGTTTACATCATTCCACAAAGTTCAGAAAAAGTTTTGGGAATTTGGTCAGAACAATTTTTTAGCCCCTGTGTCTGCCAAATTAAATACAGTAGCTGCCAATAAAGGCAAAATCACCAGATTGAATAGAACCAAATTAACCCAATCTACAGTATTTTCAGATATAGCGTATAATTATCATTCAGTACTCACATTTTTGGTTTGGAATATAGAATGTATTATTCAAAAACTCTTATACTTTTCTGTTTATTTTCCAGCTGTTGAATACAAAATTGCTGACTTGGGTTATGTAAGATACTACCTTGCACCAAAGGTTGAGGATGCTGAACAAATCGCAGACTAAATCAATAATATGTAAGAGGACAGTACTATTCAGGGATCAGGAAGATGATGTATGAATTATTTCATGTTATGAACACATCTATGGAATATTTATCACAATAACCATGGTAACAGTGCTAAGGTGATAAGTGTAGAGTTTATCTCCTTAATTGTGGCAAGAATGACTGAATTTTATATTGTTTCCATGTAGTGTATGGAATGGAGTGAATACCCGGGATGCAGTTTGAAAATCTGAAATTATTGTGTTTAAAAACATGGGAGTAAAGATATAGATATACTTGTCTTAATGTCATTTATGTATGTTTTATATATAGTTCTATTATCGATCATGTTAAAAGGCTAGTAAAAAAACATTTTCATGCAGCTTGATCTGGATGACTACATACAACATACTTTTCAGAAACAAAACAGAATTTTTACTTTACCTTTGGGAAGCATGATTGATTATCCCTTTTTCCCTTTTACTAGCCTGCCTCATGTTCAAGAATATATGGACTAATACTATTAGAATGCTTCTATTTTGCCAATTTTGTAAATATTAAATACACACTAAACAGTGAAATATGTAACACATTTGTAAGCTGTACAAATACTCTATATCAATATAAAAATGTGTAAAATCCAATGATTAAGAATGTTGTGTTGTTTAGCTTGGAAAATATGAGTAAAAAAGTGTTGGATACATTTTCAGCCTGATCTACCTGAAATATTTCTGCTCCTACTTCAGTTTTAACATAATAGTGTTGGTATTTGGATAATATTTTACTGTAAACCTACTAACAAAATCTACCCGAACCACCATGCAGTGATCTCCCCAGCACTAAAGCAAGATGGTGCAGCACCCACCTGAGATTTTGGAAATAGGCTTGCACCCACTTGAAAATTAGAAAAATCTTGGAATATTATATCCTTGGGAGATCACTGTCATGGTTGAAAAATGAATAGATGGCACCACTTAAATCACCCTTAGCAAATTCATTTACCACTTATTTACTCTACCAGATAAAGAGAAATCTGAGTGTGTCTAACAAAATGATACCAACAGACCCTTTTCCCGGCCAGTCACTAAAATCTGAGCTTAGGACAGCACTGATTAGAATATCTCAGTATTATACACCGCTCAAAAAAAGTTGAGGACCAGTCTTTTTCCTCATTTCAGTTTATTCTCTCCAATACAATAGGTGAAAACTTGCTGTCGATGAATTAAAAAAAACATCATTGATTTTATCAAAGTATTAGCTAAACACTTAGCATGCAGAAAGTAAAACAATTCAATTTTCTACTCTGTCCCATTTCCCATTGGTTTACATGGGTTCTACCATTTTTAAAGAACCGGTCCATTTAACAGACTATTGGTCCACTTAGACTTTTTCTGAAAAACTCATTCTTCCATTTACTTTTAAAACTGATTGCAAGTTGTAGGTGAACCTTTCTTCTTGAGATGTGCAATTTCAAAAAGTGGTATAAGTTCTCCATTTCTTTGAAACATTGGCAGTAAGAACCCCTATCACAAGGCTGTCTGAATATGGGTACACATTATGTTTACCATCAAAATAATATCAAAACTTATCATTACATAGAATTTAATATATGGAACATATGGCATACACGTATTCGGAGAAGAAAATTGACAAAATCTAGCAATGTATGTAGTTTACCTATGCAAATCTAGAAAACATTGTCATTTTTCGTTCACTTTGTTATCAAGTTTTAGCATGGTGCTCATTCCCTTTCATTGAAAAGTTAACCGTCAGCTCACACTCCCACAAAAATATATTGAAACTATAATGCAGAGACTGTAAAGTAGCTTCTCTGCAAATATCATTTTTGTGGAAGTTTGGGCTCACCACTAAAACTTAACTTTTGTGATGAAAATAAGCCTGACTGGTTTATGTTTTCAATATGGCTGCTAACCTGGGCATACATGTTCACTACATAACTGCATGTACAGATTAGGCCATCCAAAATTAATTATATGTTGGCATTCTGATGAAGAGCCTTATATTAAAAACTACCTTCATTTATTTAAAGGGTTTTATATATTATTTAAGAGTGAAAATGCAATAACACATTGTGCCAAAGCAAGTAACACACCTCTTGAGTTCAGATGACCTTGTTAATGAAGTTTATATACATGTACATGTAGTTTTTAATCAATCTTGGAACTCATTTCGCTACAATATAATCCAAGATCACAATTCCCTTTGTCATTTATATACATTACAAGTAGAGAGTACATGGGAACATTTTGTTTTTTCTGAAAACATAGAATTTAGTGACATTATTATAAGAAAATATTTGAATGGCCTAAGTGTTTTTCTAAATAGGGAATAAGTAGAAATTATTTTAGACAATCCTTCGAGTGTCATGCCATTCATACATGATGCTGCCTTATATTTTATGATATATATTGAGAGAGGATTTCTCTGATATATTTGTGTTTCAAATATGGGAACTGCAAATTGGCAAATAACTTAAAAGTAAGTGTACATTCAAACATTTTAATTTCAAATGCCAAATAAAATGCCAAATGCCAATGGGCATTTAGTAAAAGTGACCCTATTACTATTTAGAATAGGGCAAACATGTTTAGAAAACTGGCGAGAAGCAATTGAAATAAGAAAATCCATTCTTTTTGAAGTGCCCTTGTGTGCATTTAATTTCAGTCATTTTATCCTAATTGCCCATGCGCATTTAAAATAATAATCACATCCCAACTCTTAAAACATGCTTAGGATACTGTAAGAGTCTCAAAAGGCAACAAGAACATTCATTTTTGAAACAAGAAAATTTAGTCCCCCTAAAAATGCCCATATCGGTATTTATTCTCAAGATTTTCAGGTAATTGCCCGTGATAATTTATTAATAAAATTTTTTTTATTTCTATTCACATGTCTTTTTATCAGTCACAATCAAATAAAGCCAATTGCTCTCATTTCTTGGATTAGAAACAGTAAGATTTTGACAAAAATAGCAACTCTCAAAGTTGACCTTTAAACCACCCTAGTGTCAAGGTCAAATGTCAAACTCTCAGAAATCACATTTTAAGTAATGAGTCATACTTCCTCTTCAATTCCATGTCAATATATACTTGTTTTGTAAGGGGGCTAAAAGAGGGGTTTACCGCCACCTGTCCTTTTTTTGACACATTGTAAGGGAGATTATATTGAAAATTATCTGAAATACTAGAGAATAGTCAAGGTGCATATTTGTTTACATTATCAGTTTTTGTTTTATTTCGGGCTTAGAAAATAGAGTTCAAACATACATGGGGTTTAACATGTATTTTGAGGAGAAAGACTGGCCCTTAACTTTTTTTATGTTTAAAAATTGAAAATGGCCATGCCCTAAACCTAATCAGAAGTTTTATTTAGATCTTTCCCAGCAGCACAAAATGACAATTTAGCACTTGAAAAAAAGACGAAAAAATATGAAAAAATGAAGTATAAAACAAAAAGCTCAATACATTCAATATTTACATTTATTTTAATATCTACAAAGAATAGCCAAATATAACATTATTTTTATGTACATATCACAATTTTCATGAGAACATACATACATGTATTATGTACAAGAACAGTACAACACAACTTTGAAACAATTATGTACAAAAATATTTTGAAACAATATTCCATGATTCAATACTGTTTTTCAGTTACAACAATCCTTTTGAAAAATTTGATTACAAATCGTAAACAGCTTCCTAATAACTAGGAAATGCCAAGTTACATTCTTGAAGATTAATATTTACAGAACATCTAGCTAAAGGATGCATAAGGCAGAGATTGCATTGAAACATGGAAAAGCAAGGAAAAACAACATCATTTCTACTAATGTACAGAGGTGTGCAATTGTCTTAAACAGCCACTCCTTCACAAGAGAGAACAAGAGAAAAAGCCGACAGCACCTTTCCAGTTTACAATGATGACGTAGTACTTACATTTATAAATCCATTGTTTCTGTAATCATGATTAAAAATTCTGAATGTAGTTACGTTTTGATAAGGACATTACTGTTTATTTATTTAGGGCGGAAATGGGATACACTTATTACTTTCATGATTTTTTGTTCACAAATATTGCTAACTACAGGGTATGCCATCATAAATCCGAAATCTAACTAATATACTCAAGCTTCCATCATTCCCCAAAAGGGGTCACTGGAAATTTCAACTGACACACATCCAATCCAAATAGAGTTTTACAGTTGTACAAAATGCAAGTAAAATCAAGTCTGTATAACATTTATAACTTGTAATTCAGTGTCATAATGTATTTTTAGAGCATCAAATATAAGAATTAGAATAGAAAAGTTCTGTAGTTATAGAACATACATAAAGTTATAATATTGTAAAATAGACATAATACATATATCATTCTAATAACCCTGAAGTGTCCATAACATAAATACTTAGCAAAAATGCTTTAAAAACATATTCAAAAGTCTTCCTGTTGTATTCTCAACGTGAAGCATTCCTTTATGTTCACAAACTTAAAATCTTCATGTGAAGGGTCCAGATTATTCATTTCACCTGGGGGTCATTAACAGAAACTTTGTAAAGTTATGAAATCGTAAATCAATTGTAACCATGGATATAATGACGTCACAGTTAGAGAACAATGGACTTTAATAAATCTGAACTTTAAGAAGGTTCTGTTAATGGGCCCCTGGCCCTTAATTCGAAAAAAGCAACTCCAGGGAGAGGCAAATCTCTCCTAACACAACTTATTTTATCAAATAGTTGTCATTGTGAACATAACTTGATAGAAATAACCGGAAGAAGAAGTGTCCCATTTTTGTCACATTTGAGTATGATGTCACATTAGAATATTATTTCACATTTGAGTATGTCACATTAGATTGTGATGTCACATTAGAATATGATGTCATCATCATCATCATCGTCGCTGATTGTTGCTTTGACTGGTGTTCGTCGACCTGTGCTACCTCTGGGTGAACTCCGCTGTAATAAAAATGATTGAACATATTGACTGAAGGGAGAAAGTGTAATCTGTAAATATATGAAATAATTTCAGTGATGTTTATCCTGATGTCGAATTACACTTTCCAACTGAACAATATTAATCTAAGTCTGTGGATCATCATGTGAAAATCCAATCATTACTCAATAATTTGATATCATGGTATAAAATGCTGGTTCTTTGGCATTTGAATATTTTGATCAATACAGTAGTATTCCCTTTGTTCTCTTGTCCCTATTATTGCTGCCCAGTATACAGTATAAAAACCATATTCAATCCCTTCCAGTAAATAGCCTCTATATCTTTCTCCTGATGGTGAATGCTATTTTCTATTGATACAATTAATCATGGATCATTTGTTCTGATTTTTTCTGACAATGAGAATAAAGAAATGAACTTACAGTTTTGCCAGACATTGGACGAGATGATGCATGGGACCTGACAGAACTTCTTGCGGAATGTGGTGAAGATGGGTGATGGGCTGATGACCTCCGAGAAGATGAATTCATTATAACGCTGTCTGAGTCTTCCTCCTCCCCAGCAGAGTCTAAACCTGGAGAAATGATTGAAACTTTGAATATGTTTATTTATTTAGTTTGAATATGTTTATTTATTATATGGGTCAAACTTTGATTACATTCATAATGTAAAAGGATGAGTCGGGAGTATGTCATTTTTGGTCCCTCGCTGTATGTATAAACATTTTGTACAACTATTCTAATTATATTTATTAATAAGAATTATGCACTTTTTATGAGGGCTCTCAGACGAAAGATGGCAGATTAAGATTTGATAATGCGTGTGATTGAGTTGACCAGGAATCCCACAATTTTAATACAATCATATTTGACCCACGATAAGCAAATAAAAAAGTGAACTCCCTTGGCGACAGCTGGCCTACTGTTAATATACTAATTAACATCGTACCTGTCTTCCAAACCAAAATAAGGAAAAAACACAATTATTTCAAGGCATTGTTGTTTAGGGCAGTTAAAATGGAACAGAAAAACAGATCTGTTAAATGTGCATTGACCTCTTGACTTGACCTAGTACAGATCCTACCAAATTGTTTAAAACCCCCTTAGACATGAGTCAATGGAACATAGTCATGAGATAAAATTGTTCATAATACAATATAAAGTATTGACTACATGCCTGTGTACATAATACTATTGAAATATAACAAGGCAAAATGGCACTTTGTAATGGAATGACAGCATGAAATGTTACCTCGACTACTGAATCGACTGCTCCTCTCAGACATTGGGGTGGAGGGCCTGAAATCAAACAAATTAAATTAGAATTATGAATAATATCGATTTTTTACCAGTCAGAAATAAGAGGACATGTACACACCACAATAATTATATAAGTATATTAGTTTATTGCAACTAAGGAATGGAATCCAATCATCAACAGTCATGGAAAAACAAAGTTAACTGCGTTATAGTTTGACCCGCTCCCCTCATCCAACGAAATTTTAAAATGGTGATTTGTCCATCCTCCGATCACAGGGCTTCGAAATCCAGAATATGTTCTTTCTTTTTACCCCCTGCTATAAGCAGCCAGCATTTCCCCGCTTAAGAACTTGCAATCTGATTGGCTGTCGCAACACTGCAACAATAATCATGTATAAGTCATTGTGCATAATTAGATCACGTGATTCAGTTAAATCGGGCGCTTCCAAATTGATTATAGCAGGGGGAAGAAGGAGGTACGGATTCTTGATACCTGCTTAGGAGGATTTGTCGTACATAAAAATAATCAACACAGTTTGCTTATGTATCTAACCACTCCCCCTCATGAAATTACCCTGGTTATTCAACAACTGTTGAAAATCGAACACCTTCCCTATTACTAAAATATACTAGAAAGAAGCTAGAAAAACAGTTATTTCAAAATCTCAGATAAATGCGACTTGCACTCAGTGATTAAACAGAAGTATCAATTTGTATAGTATAAACACATATGGAGAAGAAATGTTATGTATTCATTGTATTTCACACACTAAATATCACACATCTAAACATTGTCACAATGTGAAGTTTCAATTCATTAAGAGAAAGCCTAAATTCAAAATAGCGTCCAAATCTCTTATTTTTGTCTGATAGTATGTGTCGCTTGTATAAGCATACAGTACCTAGCTTTCAGTTGATCTTTACGAGCCTGGTGGCCCCGGAATGTTGACTGAATATAGAGGGCAGCATCATCCAATTCTGGATCAGATTCGGAGAGCTGGTATGTAGGTGGCGTTAAAGGCCTGTACACAACACAGAACACACTGTTAGAGATATGAACACACACACAAAAGTAAATGCATCTATGAAAAATCTATGAGAAATGATATGAATTTTTGAGAAGAAAAGTTGAAGCATCAAACACATATTATAGATTGACAGTGCAAAAGCATGGTGCAATTTTAGAATGCAGAATGTTTTGAAAAAAATAATTTCTAGAAGCTGAAGTTTATATTATAAGATATCATAAGATAACACAATATAATAAGACAATATAGACCTTTAAAATAGTTTTAATTGTTATGTATCAATTGCATATGCCAATTGCTATAAATGCCAATGTCAGCTGCAAATAGCCAGTAAAAAACAACATTGGCTGAAACAACATGTCATCATTTTCTGGTGGGAAAACACTATCAATTTGAATCATATTTAATATAATGAAATTCAATTAATTACTTTTTGCACTAATAATTTTTCTCACGTCATGAAATGTAATACCTTCGTCTCATTTGCTCCTTGCGAGAAATATGGCCTCGAAAAGATGACTGGATCAATTCCGCAGCGCTGTCAGCCTCACTATCAGTTACGTCTGAATCATTATTTTGATTCATATAGCGGCGCCGTGCTGAATGACCTCTGATTGCTGATTGGATGGTTTCCACAGCCTGGAGTTACAAGAATAAAATCATAATTTCATAGTTTTCAAAGTTTAGACACATTAAATTAAAATAAAAAACAGAAACATTAAAAAACATATTTAGAATAGATACATAAGGGTTATGTACTGGGAGGTTTTGGACACAGGGTTTATCCCAGGGATAAACTCTGTATCCGAAACTGACCGTACATAACAGATGTATTCCATAGGAAGGATACAGCATATATCCAGTTACATAACGAGCTGGAATATATAGGTACACTTTATATTCCCACTCGTTATGTACTTATTACCTCAGTAGGTATGAAATAAAAAAGGATATGAGAAATACGTCTAGAAGGATGTGAGAAATATGTCTAGAATTGAAAAGTGACTTGAATACAAAATAATATTTACTAATTTTAGATAACATTTTAGCTATTTAATTTGCTTTGACCTAATTACTGAAAGCAACTAAGAGAGGGAAAAACTATTTATTAAAATGCAATCAAAACAATCTGCTTTAATAGTTAGCCAAATAGAGCAATCTGACATTTAGAATTACTTATGGTCATCACAACCAAACAGTCCACTATTTCAAATAACAAACAAATTATCTCAAATGAACCACATGTATTACAAATGAACCACTTGTATACAAAATGAACCACATGTTTACCAAATGAACCACATGTATTCTCAAATGAACCACATGTATTCCAAATACACCACTTGTGCACCAAATGAACCACTTTTATACCAAATGTAAATCTCATGTATTCCAAATATTTCAAATAAACCACATATATTCCAAATGCACCAAATGAGCCACATCCATTCAAAAAGAAAAAAAATTACTCCCAATATACCCACACAAAATGATCTTAACTAAAGCATAAACTTAACTATCTTATCAGTATATTTATATCAGAAATCAGAAAAGCCTCTAAAACAAAGGTAAAAAGCAGTATACATAAACAATTATATAACAAAATAAAGCAAATAAGTGCAGAAGAAAAAAATTGAAATATGTAATTCCTATAAGGTGCAAATGCATGTATTAATATAAGCATATCACATGTGTAACACAATTTAGGCAACAAATCAGAAGTGTAACATAGCATATCAGTATCATCACATAGCAAAAATGTAACATCACATGGCACAACTGTAACATCACATTGCAAACTGTAACATCACATTACAAACTGTAACATCACATGGCACAACTGTAACATCACATTGCAAACTATAACATCGCATTGCAAACTGTAACATCACATCGCAAACTGTAACATCACATTGCAAACTGTAACGTCACATTGCACAACTGTAACATCACATTGCAAACTGTAACGTCACATTGCACAACTGTAACATCACATTGCAAAACTGTAACGTCACATTGCACAACTATATCATCACATTGCAAACTGTAACATCACATTGAAAACTGTAACATCAAGCCATCAAACTTTGAACATACATCATCAGTTTCTCTTTCATTACAGCGTCCTTTGTAATCTATCCACCCACTTTGAATTTTTCTTGCTGCACGATTCTCCGTAAATTGACGAACTTTCTTATTTTGTGTGTGTCGCCTTTCAACCTATAATATTTGAAAACCAGGATATGGTTGACATATTTTCCTTGCTCCATACACCATGCTTTTTTATCATCGATTCAAATATTCAGATAATTGTTTCTGCCAGAAATTTTTTTTGATACACAAAATGTTGATTCACCCTTCAGTTTTAATCCTCAACATATATATGAGCCTCGCCATGGGAAAACCGGTCTTATCAAAAAAAATTTAAATTGTGCTACAGAGCCAAAAATGCAACCGAGGAAAAATTGTTAAGACACAAGCCATGGCTCACCTGAAAGGTCTCTTTGTGCTTTTTAAGAACAAGGCACAGACGTGAACAATATCATACCTAAAACACAGCAGTGTGACAGTAAAGAATTTGGGACGGAAAATCCAAAATGGCCACCTTAAAATTTACCCAGAATGCCCAAAAACTAATCAGTTCTTAACTTTGATATGTAGAAACATCCCTGAAATTTCAGATGAATCCGTCAAATGGTTTGGCTGGAAACCTGTAGACAATCTGGAAACCTGTAGACAAGTCTTAAAAGTGAAGATTTTAGGACAGAAAATCCAAAATGGCCACCTTAAAATTAACCCAGAATGCCCAAAAACTAATCAGTTGTTAACTTTGATACGTAGAAACATCCCTGTAAAGGACGATTCTCGGTTTGGAGAACGAATTTCATCAATCTAAATGAGCATTATCCCTGCTTCGGACAAATTTGATTTTTTTACATAATATAGATTTGAATGTCTTCTTTTGAATAGTCATAATTTAATTTGGGTAATATTTCTAGATTTTTCGCAAAAAAATATTAGCGCAGTACACTGATGAACTTTTTTCCCCAAATCGAGGCTTGTATTTTATTGAATCGGTCAAATTGAGCGTTATCCCTGCTTCAGACCAATTTGTTATTTTTACATCTTGTAGATTTAAATGTCCTCTTTTGAATATTCATAGTTTAATTTGGGTAATATTTCTATATTTTTCATAAAAAAAATTATTAGCCCAGGAGACTGTTCTCCAAACCGAGAATCGTCCTTTCAAATGAATCCGTCAAATGGTTTGGCTGGAAACCTGTAGACAAGTCTTGAAAGTGAAGATTTTAGGACGGAAAATCCAAAATGACCACCTTAAAATTTACCCAGAATGCCAAAAAACTAACCAGTTCTTAACTTTGATACGTAGAAACATCCCTGAAAATTCCAGATGAATCCGTCAAATGGTTTGGCTGGAAACCTGTAGACAAGTCTTAAAAGTGAAGATTTTAGGACGGAAAATCCAAAATGGCCACCTTAAAATTTACCCAGAATGCCCAAAAACTAATCAGTTCTTAACTTTGATACGTAGAAACATTCCTGAAAATTTCAGATGAATCTGTCAAATGGTTTGGCTGGAAACCTGTAGACAAGTCTTGAAAGTGAAGATTTTAGGACGGAAAATCCAAAATGGCCACCTTAAAATTTACCCAGAATGCCAAAAAACGAATCAGTTCTTAACTTTGATACGTAGAAACATCCCTGAAAATTTCAGATGAATCCGTCAAATGGTTTGGCTGGAAACCTGTAGACAAGTCTTGAAAGTGAAGATTTTAGGACGGAAAATCCAAAATGGCCACCTTAAAATACCCAGAATGCCCAAAAACTAATCAGTTCTTAACTTTGATACGTAGAAACATTCCTGAAAATTTCAGATGAATCTGTCAAATGGTTTGGCTGGAAACCTGTAGACAAGCTGAAAAGTGAGACGCCGCCCGCCCGCCGCCCGCCCGCCCGCCCGTCAAGCTGACTACAATATCGTACCTTAGGTACGATAAAAACCATGGGCTTTCAATTAGATAGTTGAAAGCCCATGGAAAAACAAAAAGTCAAAACATTGAAAAAATCTGTGAAAAGACCCCTTTTCCTGTGGCCTGGCTCATATATTGTTTTGCTTTCAATTCTAAAAGGTGCAACAGTGAACTAAAGACATATTACAACAAGTTTACTTGTGTATAATATAATATATACAAATATAATATCTAAAAAGAATAATTATCTCAAATCAAATTAAATTAAGAAATGAGGTAAAAAATTTGTTTTAAAAAATAATTAATAACAATGATACAACAGAACATGCATGCCTAAAATCTGTCCTGTGAAATTCTACAAACAGAATGCATATTATTATATATCATCCTACAGGGTGTCTCGAAAGTATGCCCCCCCCCCAGGCAGACATATTCCAGTGTCCTCATGTGTCATGTATCATTTCAAAGCTTGTCCAAAGTTACATTGATTTGCCAAGTATCATGGTTTAACTCCCAAATGGAAAAAAGTTACAGTCATTTTAAAAGTTAGTGTTTTGTCAAAATAAAGTTCAATTTTACACCACATAACTAGTCAATGAGTCCCCCCTTGGCCATGTTAACAGCAGCAATTATTTTCAGATATGACCTTAAAAGCCCTTCAAATAGGGGTGTGAAATTTTATAACCCTCTCAAAACCTGTTTGTTAAGGCACTTTAGAAGAGTTTCCTTAGAGTTTCTACCCTCACCGTTCTCTTTTTCCAACTCAATATCCATCCGACCCGAAAAGAATTGCTGCTATTAAAGATGGCCCATAAGGACACATTGACTGTTGATTTGGTGTAAAATTGAACTTAATTTTGACCAAACACTAAATTTTGAAATGCCTGTAATTTTTTCACATTTGAGAGTTGAACTATGATACTTGGTGAATCAATGTAGCTTTGGATAAGCTTTAAAATGATATATGACACATACAGGGTGTTCCATATGTTTCAGGAATGATGCTGTGTTTTGTTGGTTTTCTTTTCAATCTAACTGAATTTTTGACACAATGTGTCTAAACATGTTTTAAATAAGTTGGGAAAGTTTCATATCGTGAAGTACAGTAGTCTTAATTATATGGTTGCTATAGTAACCTAGGGGTAGGGTAGGTGGAGCAGGTGTAAGAACGTGCAAAATATATGAAATATTTGTAAAAATAGTTTTTTTGTACCAAGTGTGACAAAGTATTAGGTTGTCAGAGTTGGATCAAACTTGTCAGTAATTAAACAAAAATGAAGGTGGATTCCAAGAAAGTAAAAAAAAATGTAATCACCCTTGATCACATCACAATTTTAACAACTGTCATGTCATGAGTCACAAAGGAGAATAAACACAGGTCACTTTGGACGAGTGGCCATCTTGAAAAGTGAAAAAGTCATTAGCAAAGGAAAACCTTCTACTTGGGCAACACACAACAATCTGTGACAAGACATGACATGTGTGAATAACAGTTTTCTGCAGCAGACACAATTCAACTCCTGACGAATGCACATGGGGACTCAATGATGGTAACCTCTAGAGTGTATGAGTGGTACAAGCGGTTCAAATCTGGAAGGGAAACTGAGACCGATTATCCAAAATGTGGACATCCGAGAATAGTGAGAGCGCTAACTAATGCGGAAGGGATAGATGCTGAAAGGATGATGATGGCTTATAAAGGGTGTGATAACATTTTCAATTCCCAGGAATCCACCTTTATTCTTTTTAATTTCCAACAGGTTTGATGCAACTATGACAGATTAATACTTAGAACACTTTATACAAAAACTACTATTTTCACAAAAATGTCATGTTATGCGCGTTGTTACACCTGCTCCACCTACCCTACCCCTAGGTTACTATAGCAACCATATTGTTCAGTCTACTGAGTTTCATGATATGAAATTTTTTCAACTTATTCACAACATATTTGGACACATTTTGTCAAAAGATCAGCTAGATTGAAAAGAAAACCTATAAAATACAGCATCATTCCTGAAACATATGGAACACCCTGTACTATGACGACACTGGTATATGTCTGACTAGGGGGGGGGCATACTTTCGGGACACTCTGTATATGAATTTTGGAAACTCATTATATGAAATAGATGGAGTTACTCCCTATAAGATTCTTAATCCCAACTAACAGGGAAGATAAAAAGTATTGTTGACCAGTCACGTCATCTGAATACGTTTTATCTTCTCTACTACTGGGTATTATAGGTCGGCAGACTCAAGAACATGTCCGTTGACAGAATCAATTCCCCTTTGGAAATTGTTTCTGACCTTTTCTTTCATTTGTTTATATATGTTTACCTCGTCTTCGTCATCTTTTATCTTATGATCTCTCCAGCCGCGCTGAATTCTTTTAGCAGCATGGTTTTCTGTAAATTCCCGCACTTTACGATCTTGCTCTCGCCTGTCTCTCCGACTATTTGTGGTACGGTTTGTAGCACTAGAACGAGCTGTTCCATTGGTACGGTTTGTTGCAACACTTGTTCGACTCATGAGCGATTCTCTTGAATCTTGCCTAAGAAAATAAAAAGTTTTGAATTTACAGTAAAACCTGTATATCTGAACACTTGTCTTACAGAAATTTCTTCGATTGGATAAGACAAGATTAACAACATTTTAAGCAACACATTTTCATATTAGTATTTGATGCTATTATGAATGAGATTTTGTTATCTTTTTGCAAAGATTTTAAATACTCCAATACAACAATTACCCTGGATTCCAATTGGTAATATTACCCTCTGAAAATCAAAGGACTCTAAATTTAAAAGTACGAAAAAGTAAAAGTCACAATCCAGTAAATCATGTTCTGTATTGGTTATGATATCAATGCCATTCTTACAAATTAAGGGCAAAATATGATTACCTTATTTACTCATTTTGAAAAATTATTTTTGCACTTGTATATCCAGAAAAGTATGATATCATAAATCTATTATAGCTAACAAATATATACACTGGGTTTGGGTCAACAAAATGGGTCAGGGTTTATTGGTAAGTTCTATTTACCTGCTAAGTTGTGGCGTTCTTTTCCTTGGAGTTACTCTTGGGGTAATGGTTCTATTCCTATCATTTTCATAGAACTGGTCTAACTCTTGCTGCAAATCTTCAACATCCTTCTTTAGAAGCTTGATCTGTTTACTGGAAAACAAAATTTACATTTCATTCAGTTAACTTAATATCAGAATTATTTCAGAAAACTTGTCATATTTAGTTTATTCCAATATTTTCTTTATTTGCATGGTTCAGCCATCTTGGATTACCAAGGTATGAATCAATATTCTTTTTGTTCCTTTACAGATTGTCATATTACAAACATTATACAAATTTCGGAGACATGTCAAAACTATTCAAAACATTTTGAGAATTTTCTAAAAATGGAAAGGTCCAAAACTGTTGTTTAGACATGAAATGGTGGTTTTATGTAAAAAAATTATTGAAAAGCTCACTCTTTCTCTTCTCCCTTTTTCCTGTAATGTAACCTATCCTCCTTGAGTTTTTTGATGGTTCCTCTCTGTTTTTCATTTTCTTCAATAAGTTCAGTTTCTCGTTTGTCTAACTGATCAAGTTTCTGTGCCATGTTACCCTCTAGTGATATCTTCCCTGTAATGAAATAAAGGAAAATGATTTATCCCATACATGGAAGTGTTTGAGGTACAAAAAACAGGTTTGTAGAGTTCTACTGACATCAGTGGGCATGATATATAACTTGACATTCCTGCTACATCATAATGTTGGTGCATTTTAGTACATCATATACCCATAGAATAATAGTTCAGTTCAGTAATGATGTCTTACCTGATGTGTCTGCACGCCGACTGCCTGTCTCTGATGTCATGGATATTGTATCTATATTATTCTTTTCCATTTTCTGAAATATAATACAAGTTTTAAGTCTTTATATTTCTAACTCGGGGACTATTTCCACTTATTCATTGTACAGTAAAATCTGTATATGTACACCACTCTCCTCCGAACACCATTTCTCTGTCATGATTTTGTAATTTTCCATTGATTCAAATATTAAGAATAACATTCTCTAAAAAAAGTCAATGTGGTTTAATATACAATGTATGTATTTACCTTTTCTAGTCTTGAGATTGCACCCATTAATTCTCTTTTATTCATGTCTTCATAGTCTTTTTCTGAAAAAAAAACATAGACTCACATCATCTTTTCATACAGTCAAATAATGTGTAAGTATTGTACATTAACAATGTACACACGTGTTATAAATGTAACATTGGAAATATACAATACATGTTCTAATACATACGAATGAGCTACATATATTTGACACATGTACATTTTCAGTTTTGGTTTTATACCAACAAGTGAAATATTCTGCAGGTAAAGTTTTTTAATGATGCAAAACACACAGTGATAAAGTGATAAATATCACACTTTTTTGTTGAAAATCTAAAATGGCAATCGAGTAATTTATCAAGCATATCTGAAACCTAAGCAGATCTTGGCACAAGTCTGCCCTTGCATCTGTAAACATTACAAGTTGAATAGGTGAGCAGTTTTCTCAAATTTTGAAGACAAGGATTATGTGTATCCTGTATGTCCATCAGGAAAAGGCAATGACAAAATAGCACTTTGAAAAGTGAGTTAAAATAGTGTATATACTTGAAATATACATTGTGTGTCATATAAAATGCCATAGAATTAAAGGTGCAACAATTAGTACAGAGGGGCCATTCAACGATCATGGACCATCGTCAAAATATATTTAAGTTTGGATGTTTCATCAAGACTAACATAAGTTTTTATGATCTAGAAAGAAAACCCCAGGATGACTGATTCTCCACTTGAAATGTCTTGGATCTTGAAAATCTATAAGTGGAACTCCCTTTATAGAAGCTTTGAACTGAATTTACACTTCTTAATTCTGAAATTGATAGTTTGTCCATACATTTTAAGAAAATAGGTATGTCAAAGAAGATGTTAAAGTCCCCGTCTAAAGTTTGAAAATATTTTTTTATCATTCATTTACTATTTGTCAGGACTTAAGAAGTGATTTTAGAGATTTTTGAACAAAAAAAAAATTTTGAAAAAAAAGTTGTGAGCATTTCATTTTTCAAATATTCAAATTTCCCGCCATTTTTCAAAAAAAGTTGAAATTTCTTAATCATCAAATATTTCTTAATGCATTTCAAAAAAGATTATCTTTTTAACACCAATGCAAAGATTGAACAAAGGACAAACTATTTCAATAATAAAATGCCATATTTAATGTGCCACTTCAATGTTTTAGCATATCAAAAATATTTTGAAACATTAGTGATGTCACTAAGGTACCAAAAACTTTTTGAAAAAAATTGAATTTTTTTTTTCGATGTCAAACTTTCCTAAATATGCTAGACTTTCATAAAAAACCAATGTTGATTGTCTAACCAGGTTAAAAGGAAGAAAAAATTATGTTTTAGATATCATTGTACCATTGGTTTCTATGAGAACTAAAATTTTGAATGCATTTTTCTCAGAACCATTTTCATGCACTGATAAGTTCATTTCTCTCTTATTTATGAACTGATTTTCTTAATTTTTTCGGCAAAAAACATGGGAGGATGAATGCTATGCATTGGTATGAATTGTGGCTAATTAGAAGATATGAGTGACCTCTAAAAGTTGGTTTTAAATAAATTCACAAATTTCAGAACAAAAAGTCTATCATAAACCACTTTTTGAAATTTAAAAAGAAAGTTTCATATATCACACTTTGATAATATTGGGTAAGACTACAATATAAGCCAAAGTGGTTTAAACTTTATATGGGGCCTTTAAGCCAAAATGTTGGCCTGATAGCCCAGAAAAAATAAAAATTTTCGAATTTTCGCTCTACAGTCCTTGTTGCCCCTTTAAATGAACCTAAAGCATGCCATTATAAGGCTGACTAAGTGCATATCAATGTATGGAAAACCTACTTAGAGAATTTTTATCTTGAGCATGCTGTTCAAGCGCAGATTCAAGGTCCTGTTTTAGCGTTCTATTTTCTGACTGCAATCGTGTGTTTGTCTCATTCATTCGGAGTATCGTTTCTTGTAAGGCCTTCATCCGACCTGGAGTTTCTTTGACAGGCGCTGCCTTGGTGTGACTGTGTATGAAAAAGAGAACGAATGTTATTAAGTTGTCAAGTTGAATCCTAACCTTTGCTACATAACTGAACCTGAAGTGAAATCATGTGCATGGGTATTTATACTTTTCATTTTTTTTTCAATTTATTTATATTTCCTTGATATTGATATAAATACAAATGTATGCCTTTGTTAACTTAATAACATTAGCGGCAGAGTAAAAATTAAAAATATAACACAGTGCATGGGTATTTATACTTTTCATTATACAAAACATACATGCTACATTCATTCCTAATGAAATATTTTTGCAAATAGTAAATTATTTTAGATGGCTTCATATATTTTTATTAGGTATTTATTAACAACTTACTTCTTCTTTGGCGAGTCTATCGTATCTGCATTTCTCAATCTCACAATCTCCTGATACATCATTTCTGTGTGCAGTTTCATCTCTTCAATCTTTGTGGATTTTATATCTGCTTGTAGTTTACTGGAAAATGTTCAGGATTGGATAATATGAGGGCCGTTCAATAAATATAAATACAACGAGATGTTTTCCAATAAATAGTGCATCATTTTTATCAATCAGAGAAACCACAATATATTGGCTAGATTTGTGATGTCATAGGTTGTACTTTCTCAAAATTAGCAAAAAGTTATCATATTTTTGCACGGACAGATCAATACCTGCAACCAATGACATCATCAATCTAGCCAATAAGTTCTAGTTTCTCTGATGGATCCAAGATGGCATGATTTATCAGAAACATCTATTGAAGGCAATATTGTCTTTAATCTATGAAAATTCCAATGGTTTGTTTCAATTGTTTTTTCCTTACTTGTATGCTGCCTCTTTGTCTCTATATTGCTGTTCAACCTTTAGTATCTTCTGCTTAAGGCTGTGTATTGTCGTCCCTGCATCAGGCCGCCTGTCTGCTAGGGTACGCCTCATTTCATCACCCTAAAGATAAACATTTCATTCAATTATTGATTTAAAAAATATTAATTGTTCGCGTTCCAAACAACCAAACAAATAGCAAAAACAAAAAACAAGCAAACAGTTTTTTATACATTGACTGAAATGGAGAACCCCTAATTATTGATTATTTTAGTAAAAATTAAACTAAAGCAAAACTATTGTACCTTGGATGGATCTAGAAGTTTCTCGATATCTCTTTCTTTTTTCAGATTATCTTCTTCAACACGTCGTAATTTTGACTTCAACGTTGTGTCCTGCACTTTCATGGCCTGGATGGTTTTCTTGAGTTCAAGAATCTCATCATAATATTCCTCAGAAGATTTATATGCTGGAGTACCTGGGGAAGGTTTACCTGAAACACATACAGTAAAGTAAAACCTGTCTAATACGAACACCTCTGGTACCGTCAAAAAGTTTTCGCATTGAGAGGTTCAGATATATGGGATTCACTGTAAATTCATAAGACCACTGATCAATTGGAGACTCAACTTGCGCTCTTGAAATTGCATTATTAATTTCAAAATTCCGATCAAAAATTGCAAAATATGCCAATTTCTCATAATTTTTCTCCTTTTCAGGTGATGCAACTGAACTTCTACATGGGTGATAGCCTAATGTAATAATATCTGAGAGCTTACCAGTTGGGTCTATAGTTCCATTCTTGCGCCTCTCAGTCCCTGCCAGTTGCCTCATATAGTGACTAGTGCTGTTGTATGGCATCGCCCGACTTGACTTCAGACCAGTCATTCCATTGGGAGTGCTCTCTGTACTTATGCCTACAAACAAGGAAACAAAGAATAAATACAAATAGTTTGTACATTTTATCAGTTGTTGTTTACTAATGCATTAATGCATACAAATTATGAATTTTGTAAATATTCAAATATTTTTTACAAGAACACAATAGGGAGTTTAAGTTAATGCAATTTTTTTCACAACACAAAGGTGAACGAAAAATATATAAGCGATGCATTTGTTTGGGGGATTGGTCATATGTATAGGTTGGCATTTCGATTTTATATGCAAGCTTAAACTCCCTAATAAATCCTTTACACAACCTTGAAAAAGTGATCAATATATGAAATGATCTGCATATATGCACCCAACAAAAGTGTACAATTTCTGATTTACTGCATTTCAAGATATAGCTTAACAAATATTGGAATGACCACCCCACAAAATTACAAAACTCCAGAGGCAGACTGTCAAAGTAACTTATAAGACACTCTTAAGCTTTGCAACAGACCATATGACCTTGGCAGTGTTCAATTAAAAGTAACTTACCATGGCCTGTTTTTCTCAGTGTATCAGTCCAATATTCCGTTGCCGATTTCCTGGTTGTGTTAACCCCACGTTTAGTACCATGTAAACCTCCTCCCTGTTTAACAGCATTCAACCACATTTCTCGTGTGTTTCCGCCACTCATGACTCTGTTCTAGTTGGGCACCTTAAAGTATAGACGTTAATGCTATAAAAGGCTCTTCCATTAACAGTAAGACATATGCATCAGTAGAAGCCTCATCATGGGGTTTTATTAGAAGCACGCAACAGCCGATTTTCTCATTTTGATTTTACAAAACTGTTTCTTGATTTTGAAATATTTCAATTGATTCCATGTTAAAATCATAATTTCAAATATTTCTGCCTGTTGTTTTCATCTGTAGAAATTCTAGTGAAATTCCTGACTTGGTGGGCTATGGTATTTATTTAGTTGAGTGTCATAAATTGAAACTTTCTTAATACTTCATGTAAACATGATAATACTTATTTACTGATATCTTGAATAATGTGTATACTGTGTAGATATCCTGGGTAGCCTGTTACAGCTCACTTTGGTTCTGTTTTAATCAATAGCTACATCAAGCTGTATACATACCTATAATATCTAGAAATAATACAGTATTATATCCAGATATTATGGATATGTATTGCTTCTTCTATTACCAAATACAATCAATATTGTCAACAATATTGTTTGTATGTATGGAAATATGCAAATAGAAATGATAATTTGTGTTTCAGGGACTTTGCAGAGAGAATCAGCTCAGCCTTTTTCAAAATACAACAAATGCAACTACAATAAATCTGAGTATAATGCACCCTTGACTCAGCTATGAGAACTTTTAAATTGTGAAAGATCAAGACAAGGATATTTTCATCAGTTTTGAAAACTGCTTCAGATGATTTGAAATATAAGAAATGCTCATCCACAGGGGAAAAATATTCATTGATTAATAATAAATAATTAATTTGAACAAATTCATTGCATGTTATGATTAAGATAACATCCCACAAGAAAGTACAGTAAAAACTCTATATCCAAACACCTTTCTAATTTGTCCATCTTCCAATGTCATGGCCCTTTAGGTCCCATTTTTTATCTACCATTAAAAAACTTGAAATGTAAATACCGGCCAATCAAAACCCTTTGACAGTTCCAAGTGGCGTTCAGAGAATACCGATTTTTCAGTGTAAATAATGATTGAAAACAAGACTTTTGATGTGTATCAAACCAGCCTCTTATTAGCATGGATATTACTAGGATTCATAAGTGCTTGGCAGAAGCCAAGTTTAATCAATATAGTCTGACTAATTACAAAAAATCTCTACCTATTAATACCGCTGTTAAGAAATCTGAATTTGGTAATATATTATATTAGAGATTTGAAATCAAATCAAGAGCACTGCTTTATGAGGAGAAAAGGATAGAAAATCTTTGAAGTCAATTCAAGGAAATTCAATAAGTTGACTCAAGTGTAGCCAGGATGATAACGTTCCTTATAAGTAGTATTTTTACAGGTTGTTGCCCTATTTAAATAGCAAAACACTTACTTTTGGATAATGGTGACAATGCGCCTTTTTAAATAGACCTTGTAACTTAGAAGTCCTTAATGACCTGACAAGTTTTACCAGAATGTGCGCCTATTCATTTGAGCAATTCAATAGTAAACTTTCTCTTGAAAAAAGTAAAATCTTCTATATTTGTTGAATTTTCTTGCGTGAATCGCTGCATCTGTTCATTTTGTTCAATAACTGGGCGTGGAAGTAAGTCATATTTTTTTTCAAAAGATCATCAAAAGTTACCTTTTTCAAAGGCTTCACTGGTCTCATAGAACAGCCTTTGGTCACTAACAATAAGCCGCTAGAAAATCTTAACTTCTGGAACTGAAATACTGAATTCAGCTGCTTACTTTATACCTCCATATGTTCCCTACTTCTCCATACTTCGCTTGCAAAAGTCCGTAAGTTATCAGCTGCTTATGTATCAAGCAGAACTTGACTTTATCTCCATGGACATTTTGTAGTGGGAACTCAAAATTGGTGGTTTTGATGTAAATTCCCAAAGTAGCATTCAGAGATTTTCAAATTAACTTTAAAAATGGCTGAACTTCCGGGTGTTCTCTTGCGGTTATCACTGGAGATTTCAAATGCTACTTCATAAATTGTTGTCAAAACCGCCATTTTGATTTCTCACTAGAAAAAGTCAAGTCAGGGATGAAGACAAATCCTGATCAACACAAAAGCAGCTGATAACTCGTTCAACAAGTTAAAAACCTAGTCTCTTGGACTTTTTTAGCCCAAGTCAGTCTCTCTACTTATTTTCCGGCAACTTTTGCACAATTCATTATGAAAATACAAATATTTTATCAGATAAATATCAATCAGAGTTTAGTGGATGCCGGAGCATCAATCAGATACCTGGAGGTGAGAAGGTTTCAACAAGAAACGTTGAAAAGATCACTGAAATTGTCGAACATATTAGCTGGATCTAGGCGGAGATTCAGATCAATCACTGAATTAGATCGACGACTACATGGACTAGGTCTTCTTGCATTTTGCAAATTCAGTTTCAAATCAACATTGGATCGCATGATTTAAAATAAAAAATGTATTTGGAACTTGTTATTTTCCATGTCGTCTGAGCAGGAAGTCTTGCCAATGCGCCTGCGTGTAACCAGAAGTGGAAATTTCATGGCATGGAGGCGCATGCGCATTACCCAACTTCCTGAGAAGCCATCTTGAAAATTATCAACTCTTCAACATTTTTCATCAATTACACTGTCACCCGACTCCGGGTAGCCCGATATGGTTAGAAAAATGATACTTTAGAATGTTATGCATCGATTGAAGTAGGGTAAATGTTTCCAAGATTTCTTACATTTTTACAAAATACCATTATGAAGGACTGGAAATATCAAGTTTTGCATAGCCATCAATCTAAAGATGGCTATGTGCAAATATAGTAAGGCTATTCCGTGAGACAAGTACAGCATTTGAAAAAGGTAAATCAAAAGAATTTCTAGGGTTTTGTCCACAGTTTGCAGTAGGGTGCTACATTGAAAATTCTCAGATCTAATATTGATCAATTCAGCACTGTTTACAGGGCTACCCAGTAATTTGAGAAAGCAATAAAATATTTGTGTCTGCAAAGAGAAAAATGGAGTTAACAAATTAGAAAGGAGCTGGGATAACAATCCATGACATGGAAATACATAGGAATGAAGAGTTTTAAGGGAGAAAAACAGAAAATCACTCTAAAAATTTCAAAATCATTTTTTGAAAAAATACAAAAATTACATGGCAACCAATGTGACAACTTACCTCAACAATTTATGGACAAATGTCAATAATTTCAGCTAACTCCTGCCTCTTATATATAAAACATCATATCATCGTTGAATAATGTCAAATGGGTGCCTGGTTTAAGAGAAAACAAACCATTTTCTGTATTTATCTGTTCAAAACATCAACATTTTAGCAAATCTCGTTTTACATCTCGTCCTAGCAAGTCGCGTACATGTGCGAGATTACTGAACGAAAATCACAAATAGTTTCCCGGGAATAAAAATATTTCTTAATATTTTCAAAGGCTGACCGGTTGAATTTTGATAGAACAGTTATATCAATTTAGTCGAGCCTTTTAAAAAGCCAAGCTGGAACCATGTAAGGACTAAGAATTCCTTAATCTTGGAAATACAAATATGAGTTATTTGTGCATCACTTACCTCAATATACCGACCTGAAGACACAGCATAGGTTGCTGTTGTGTGAACATTTTAAGAAGAACGTGAATCTTTCTTCCACACTGTAAACAATGTCCCTCCGATTTCTGATGTCATCAAGGGTAATCTGACTGAAAAATTGACATTTATGCTTGGTGATGGGACTTTTTCAAAATGGGGGCCAGACTGTTTTAGATTATTTGACAGCATTGTAAAACGCTTATTAATCCAGTTGTACAGAGACATGTTTTATATGTCTCTGAGTTGTACAAGCCTCGAGATGTACATGTATGTCTATGATTATTTTAGTATAGGCTATATAACATTGTTTTAAAGAAATTATACATGACTTTGTATATTTTTATTCATACTGTATAGTTGTATCCCGGGAGTTGTATAGCCGGACTGGATGATCCATGCGCCACAGTGTTATAAAAGTGTTGGCAAATAAATAAATAAAATAAAACAAGCTAATTTCTATAGTCTAGTCATGATTATCATGGATGTTTTTCAATTTTTGTGGATACAAATATCTTTTGTTTCTCAAGTTAATAAAATCATTGGAGTAGTTGAATATATAATTACTTATGATGGCAAGTTGAAAGCATTTACGTGATCATTACCGATTTACGTACATAAGCTTAGTGATATAAAATACTTATTAGCCTAAATAAGGATAATGTCCCCCAGCCCTAATTTTGTTCAGATGTATTTGAAGGACACTTCTAGGCATATCGCAGAGGTCGGCTTGCGGTGTCGAGGTGGTCGAATGCATTACCAGCGATTACTCTGATCTCGCACTTGTCTGTGTTGCTTGTAGGCTTGACACTTCAGCAAGGCACTTGGTAAAGTGCGGAATGACCCCTTTATAAGTTTGGTAACTGAAAGTTTCCATGAGATAGCACATCACAAAGCCTGTCAACCGTGTTGTCTGAGTTTTAGTTCATCATGATAAACCATGACATCTAGAATCTTCTCAGAGATTCAGGCTAAACAGAAAGATGCTATGAGTATCAGAATGATTTTAGTTGGGTTCCTTTAATACTATGATTCGGAAATTTATGACTTTACTATGATGATTGATTTTTAAATTGCTAAACATAAGCAGTGCTTCAAAGGGGGACTGCTTGCGGACATGTAACCCATTTTAATTTCTATTGCCCCACCTCGTAAGACCCTGGGTACACACAGAACACTTGCAGAAGTCTGTATGCTTTCATATGATTGTTTGTTTATTTGTTTGTTAGTTAGTTAGTTTGTTTGTTTGTTTGGTCTGTTTTTCTATATTTGATTAAAAATTGTTATAAACGTGATATAAATCAACATTACAATGAGCTATACTTTGAGTTGTTTATTTCAAGTTTGCAATTTGCATACATGTATTCTTTTACTTTCCCTTTCACCGTAACTATTGACAACGGCTGTATAAGTTCACTTATTTTGCAGGCATGACCAACGAATATCGCCATCTTGCCGGTTTCATCAAACCTCTCGCTTAACCCGGGATTAAGGTTTGTATTCTAAAAACCATTACTAGTCTCTAAAGAATTCCAGAAAATGTAATAGATATCGCATGAATTGGCAGCTCATCTCACGTGTCGTGATTTGATTACTAATAAATTAAATTCAAAGTGTATTTGATTAAAAATCAAGTTGTTTTTAAAATTCAATCATGATCAGATTGAATCTGATGTCATTGAATGTCTGTTCTGACATATATTGCGTGCGTGAGTTTCATGTATGAAAGGTTAGCACGGTATATCATGGATATTGTTAATAAGATGATATTCGAGAAACTATATATGAGTTGGAGAAATACAGGGTGGTCAAAAAATTCAATTCACATCTGATCCATTAATATATGTACTTAAACTGAAAGAAGGACACTTGTTGTTGTATGGAGGTAATCTTTTACTGAGAGGAATTAGTTAATAGTTATCGGATAACTATTATTAACTTAATTCCTCCCAGTATCGTACCAATAAATTCATTTCTTTTCAGAACGTGTCAACCAACTGACTTTTTGTTTTAGTTCAGGATAAAATTTAATTATCTCCAGAGAATTCAGTAAAACTCGACTTCGACCATTTTTGAAATAAAGATAGCCTACAATGTTGAAATTTTAAATACAAATCGAAATTACTATGTGTTTGGCTAAGATAGGGTGTCATGTACAGGGTGACCGGAAAAAAAGGAGACCATTGAAATAGGCAATATCTCCTAAAATAGACTAGTGACATCAATGAAATTTTGCATACATCAGGACAGTTCTATGGAAATTTGTTACTGAAGGTTTCAATACAAGCATTCAACTGGTTCAGGAGCTATGATCATTTACATAACATGCTCCAAATAGGCGCAATTGAGACCAACGCAGAGCTGGATACATTTGGCAAATACCCTTACATATTCCGACCTTGTTATGGCATTACATTTAGCATTTATTGCCACCTTTAGGTCAGCAATTGTCTCAGGATTGTTTTGGTACACATTGTCTTTCAAATTGCCCCACAAAAAGAAATCAGGTGGATTCAAATTTGAGGTGTATGGAGACGAAGCTTATCTGACCTATGGCTTCTGACTCAGTGGTCCCACTCAGTTACAGTATCATCCTAAGGAGGTTTTGGGCAGCCCTTGGTTTCCATATGGGATTTAATTGTGCCATATAGTGGTTTTAGTAACATGGCACTATGCCCAATACCTAAAGTGACTCTTAAGATTGGGTAAATCAGCACTTTGGCAACAGGATGATGAACCACATGTCAGATAACCCTTCATTGCCATTACAGCCTAGACTTGAATCCTGCTGATTTCTTTTTGTATGGATATTTGAAAGACAATCTATACCAAAACAATCCTCAGACTATTGTTGACCTAAAGAAGGCAATCACTGCTATATGTAATGCCATAATAATGCCATAGAGGGCAGAACATGTAAGGGTAGTTTGCCATATGAATCCAACTCTGCGTTGGTCTCAATTGTGCCTATTTGGAGCATGTTATGTAAATGATCATAGCTCCTGAACCAGTTGAATGCTTGTATTGAAACCTTCAGTAACAAATTTCCATATAACTGTTCCAGTGTATGCAAAATTTCATTGATGGCACTTGTCTAGTTTAGGAGAAATTGATTACTTCAATGGTCTCCTTTTTTTCCGGTCACCCTGTAAATTCACAATCTGGAGCCTTCGACCGATAAGCATGGTCGCCCCGCCCACATTATGATAATGTTCATTCCATCATTGCATTGTTTATCGCGTAGATCAGTAATTTGAATGACGTTGCGTGATTTCATTTTGAAACTGACACCACCACCATCAACTAATGATGGCGATAACCTCGCGTCATATAAAACTACATTACTACTCCATATCTCGTTCACAATTCATACTCACACGTCACGGAGAGTTGCAACTGAAAATTCCGCTTGCAAAAAGATGTATTTGAATTTAGTGGTGTCTGGGATAATTCTAATTTGTACTAGATACGCTAGATCATATCAATTCGAATTATCACCGGAGCATGAAGGCAAAGTGCTTTTGCTTGAACGCAGCGGCGCAGAGGACGCGTACATCTATGGAATGAATCAAGCAATGACATGTACACGTGGTAAGTCATGACAATATCCACTTGGTAAAAAATTAAAAATGTTTAATATACTGCTAAATAAGTTGCATTAAGAGAGAATCGTACATGATACCATGTATTAACATATTATGTTAATACAAATTTATTCCTCAATCATATTTGCTACGGCAACCGTATGGTCTAATAGTTCTACGTCCAATTAATCAGTGCGACCACCGTACAATTCCAGTCTGACGCTACGGTATATCAACGCCTTGTCTTTTTTCTACGACAGCCGTAGAAATGAAAAAATACAATCTCGTGTTATAGTTTCCAAGGCGACATGTATACGTACGTCCTGTAAAAACTGGGATTATACTGTTTTACGGACACCACAGAAGTTAACAAGTCTTAGAAAAACCGTAGAAAAGTTTCGCAGTGACCATACGTTTGTCATACGGTCGATCTGACCATAGATATCCACAGGAGCCGTAGAATTACAGTTGACCGAAGAAATGATAGACCATTCGCCGTAACAAATGTGACTGAGGTTCACCCATTTTTCTATTTCGGGGAACCTAGGATGAAAAATTCTTCATCCTAGGGGGAACTACAGTCGCCGTAGAAAATATGAATACTCGATTCTGCTTCTGTAGAGAGCTTCATCTACCTTTACGTTCCGCATGTAACCTTTGACCCTCGGGTAATTACCAACTTTAAATGTCAAGGTGAAATATTTGGTGTGGCACAATGCACCAATGTGATGACTTTGAACCTTGATAATGAAAATGGAGAATATTTGTAGCAAAAAATCGTTTTAACATTTCCATTTACAAGAGCTATTTATTTACTAGATTCTTTATATTGCCACTACTGTAACCCATGTGGAGAGAAAGGAAGTTGCCAACAACTTATCGATGGCTTGCCGTTCGTTTATTGCGTCTGTGACGACAACTTTTCCGGACCAACTTGCGGTAAGATAAGAATTACAAGACTGGTAACGATCTTTTGTCTGCATTCGAAGATGGCTGACGATACCTAACCCTATCGCTAACCCCCAACCCTAACCTAATGTATAATCGAAATTTCACTCGGCAATCTTCGGTTGTCGGGCATCAGGACAAAAAATGACGTCCTTGTCTTGATGGTCATGTGAAAATATTTTCAATAGCTAATATGATGTAATATAACATAACATAACATAACATAACATAACATAATATAATATAATATAATATAATATAACATAACATAATATAATATAATATAATATAATATGATATGATATGATATGATATGATATGATATGATATGATATGATATGATATGATATGATATGATATAATTTAATAGTACAAAAATATAGCAAGAGATATATACCTTGTAATGTTAAATTTATCCCTTCAAATATATTTATAATTATCAGAGGGTGGTCTAATATATCGTTATAGGATTACATATGTGTGTATCCATAGTAACCATGTGTGTATGTATGTGTCAATCACGAGTAGGATCCGATGGAGTACAGGCCCCGATTGTATGTTTGTTTGTTACTTTTAATTGTTTGAAATATTAGGAACTATAATCTTCTCTGGACACAACCTTGTCCAGTGTTCGATGTAACCAACATAGGACGGTCAGTGTCATCTTCACAAGATGTCAGTTGTTTCTAGCCCATACATGTTAAGACCCATTGGAAGGCGACGATGAGTTACCATGGAAATAGTTGATGGAATAGGTGATAGAATAGTACATAGATGGCATGACTGTAACTGAGTGAAGACAATATTATAGAAATTAATATTTCATTATTTCTGCTGTGAATACCTGCTGTTCCTTTAAAAATTCTAGCAAGATGTATTCCCTGAAGCCCCAAGTCAGGGGACTTACTTTCTGTTACGTGTATATGGAAGGCAATGCGACGTTAGGGAGTATGATATTGAAATGACAAGCGCAAATATTCATGTATTGTATTGTATTGTATTGTATTGTATTGTATTGTATTGTATTGTATATCTTTATTGCCCATAATAAAATGGAGATACAATTAATATGTACAGTAATGTAAAATAAAAGTACAAAATTATGACTAAATAAAAGTACAAAATTATGACAAAATTATGTTTATGTTGCCGGAAGAGCCATATATATATTTTGTATATTTTATCTGTCAGTATTCGTTCAATACCTCACTATTGATCGTGTGCGACGGAGCTTTCGTTCAACAGAAATGTATGAGATCAGAATGACCTAGACGGTGAACATACAGGTAGCTCATAGATCAATGCATTTTATGGTACGTAATACATTACAATATTTCTGACAAGTGGTCGTTTATGTCTCATAATTTATTATGGTAAATGTAGTGACAGTCAGATTACGTCATTTCAGGGCTCTAAATTTAATTAATATTCATTGTATGTTGTGTATTTTTCTCTGTTAAACAGATTAATTTTATCTCAGAAAAATGATAGCCTTGCCTCTTGCTTTGTAATAAATTATCAATGAGATAGTTATCATCATTGAGATAGTTATCATTATTAACATAGTTAACATAGATTTGATTGGTAAACTTAATAGCAGTCCCGGGATAGCAGTAAACAATCATCGTAAGAATGAGGAAATCAAACATTTAAACATTTACACACTGAATTGACAAGACGTCGAGTCATTTGAAATAAAAATACTGAATCTTTTGGGAAAAGTCGAATTCTATTTCTGATTTAATCTTTGGTTCCAAATAAATAGCACGTGGAATATTAGCTAAACGCGTATAGCCACCACGGAGCCAACATAACTGCATGAACAATGGACAATGCTAAAAGTGCGAGGCAATGTGAACGCGCATCTATCGATCTAACCTTAAAAACCTTAAGTAATTTAAATTATAAAGAAACACAATGCCAATATTATTTGGAAAGATGCATTCATAGATGCAAAACGTTTGTATATTTGAATGACTTAGATTTTTGTCCGACAATATTTAAAATTATAACTTCAGGATACTATCATGGTATCCCAACATGAACGTTCAATTAAATTACAGATTTTTTAGAATTGATATTATGCATTAACTAATTAAAAGGCAACTCTTGCGGGATCCCCAAAGTAAAGTACTGTTGAATCGTATTAGGTCATTTCAGAGAAACGTTTACGAAAATAAAGCGTGAGGATATATACAGTCATGTTATTTTCGTGTGATATTCCTAACATATAGAACTTTATTTATATGAAATACATCACCATGTTGCTTCATGTCAAATTCCTATTTAGGGGAAAGTGTAGAATTAATGAAAACCCGTCATTCGTGATTTTTATGACAAAGCTAAAAATAACGTGTAGCCTATAACCCAGTGCGGATAGTAGAGAGTTTAATCAGCAGAGAAAATCAAAACGAAAACGTTTTAACGTAACAATCGCCAATATAAATTGCATGGAGCTTATTTTGAACAAGCTCGTTTCGTAAGATATTTGGAGCTAAAACCAAAACGTGCGTAACATACGTTATCTTCATCAAAAAGATTTATACTGTGCATCGAAATCAAAATTTCGCCAACATAGTATTTAATAGTCATGCGTCTAATGATTCCCCTTGACGTTGTCACTAACGTGAAATGTCAAATTCTACCGTTTTAACACGAAACTCTGAAGCTAAACGGGTATCTGAAGTAGACTAAAGCGCTTGAAGGGCATGCAAACTATACGCACGCTCGACACATTCCAATATTAATTCACGTACAGTACTTTCCGTTCACCATTACGTTGTGAAAAACAGTGCAAGCTTAAACTCACTAATACTATATATCACTCTCCGTCGTGTTATAATGCTATAATATATGTACTTTACAAAAATGTTTTAACTCGATAGGCCTACTTGGGATATTTATTAAAGGATTCAAGACTCGAGTTAATATAAAGTCTAAATATGAGCTCCAAAACAATCCCCTTTCTCTTGAAACTTTTGCAGATGTAAGCGCAGTGTAAAGACCCTCGAGCTCGTAACACTACAGCTCCCCCGACGAGTGACCAAGTATCGTTACAGAGCAAACTAAGCTTGTATTCGCGAATGGAACTAACGGCTAGCGGCTACCGGATTAGCCTACTTTTTATGGGCAACTCAGTTAAAAAGAAATACTACCTGCCGCTATTACATTAATATTTAAATGAGTTGGTCATAAAATGGTAAGTTAATCCGATAGCCGCTAGTCGTTAGTTGCATTCGCGAATACAAGCTAAGATCTGATTAGGTTTTAAACATGCTTGGGAAATTAGTTGGTTGACATTACGATAAAAAGTGCGATATTTATCACTGTGTTCACCCTTTTATTGATTATATAATCTTTGAGGTTCTGAATCATACAATTATATGTTCTACAAGCAAATCATGATCATTCTAAATTTCTTCTATATTAGATCACTTAATTTCTAAAAAAATACCTGATGTCATTTCTAGTTTTGAGTTTGTAAATAGAAAATTAATGTTTGATTTTAATACCTCTTAAGATGATGGATGCATTATTGGTAAAAGAGCTTGACAATAACAGCAATATCGATCACGCCAAAAGGAGAATCGATGAAATTTAACTTCCTGGTCGACGGCCTTTGTGAATATGGTGACACTTAAACGCATAATTTGATTAGTCTAGTTAACTTTAGCTAGGATTCATATAAATATGCTATAAAAGAGTATAAAACGGCAACAATATAAATCTTTTTATTTTAGTACCGAACCCGAACAGTGAGGCCTGGTAGATGGGTACCTCGACATAGATAGACATCCTCAACGACACAAAGCAAAGTATGTAATGGAGGACTAAGCTCATACAGACGGAGCCATTGAAACCAAACACCTGTGTTCTAATTGGCAGATTGTAAGTATGTTTTGGTGTAGTTTTTAGATGGATAAATGTCCATTTTGTAATAATTAAATTATACCATTACGGAAGGTATACGTATTGGTCATAGTAATTTAAAGAGTCCGAAAGTGTATGTTAATATTATCATGAAAAAAAACGTTATCCAATGATTTCTCATGCTACAAAAATTATTGTGCCCCGACATTTTACTTGGCGGCAGACTTTTCGGAAAAAATATTTTCTGTTTTCTGTGTTTTTCTGGAATCATTTTTTAATTTACATTATTGTTTAATGCAAAGCTGGCTATCAATTGTATGTTTTGTATTTAGCAAATCTGGGTCGCATTTTGAAATACCAGGCGATATTCATTGGCGGCCATGCTAAAATAAGACAACCAGTGAATATCTTGCGTATCTGTTCAGATCTGTGACCAAGCATTTCAAAACTCAACTTCACATTTAAGTGTTCAAAGTCACGTTTTACACTTTGCCGACATAAAAATGCTTTAATTAACAAATACACGTGTTTAGCACGTAAAGAAAAGTAAACAAAACGCATTCAGGAAGATTAAATAGAAGTTATCCTTTTTTTAGTTTGTATAATTTTCGTGCTGATACTGTGACAAGTCGAAATCAGTGGATTCAGTCCTGCAGATGTTATGTATCATAAGTTCAAATAATGTTTAAGTAATATAAATTAACTCATCCGTGTATATCATACTTCATTGATCTACCAACTTGTAGCTACGATATGAACACACATTCGGTGATATTGTTACGGCGAATAGATAATTCAAACGAGTTCATTTGACCAGTTTTATCATCAGTCACAGCTGTGCCATAGGTTTATCTCACAATGAATTCAAGTAATATAACTATTTCATGTTTCCAAATATTTTTGGGGTTATGGTATGAAATATCCGTTTTGAAAAGCAATTTAATTATGATGGATCATGTGGATTAGTGGTTGTTATGATTGGATTCAATTCTTACCGTTCTCAATCCAAATGTTACATATAGGAGTCTGCATAACATATATGTTTTAGTTTACCATAAATGTTGTTCAAAATATCTTCTCTATACGAATGTAGTAGCTGAAACATTTTTATACTATAAATATTTAATATGTATACAAGATTTCAAGATACAATGTTAGGTAGAAACTCTGAAATCACCTCAGTTTGGTGATACAATTTTGTAATGACCCCATTCCCTATAATGAACTTATGATACATAAAATGTGCAGGACGGAATACACGGATTTTTACTAGCCACAGTGGTTGAACTACAATACATTGCTTCTGTTATAGATCACAAAATGGCCTTTAATAATCCAGTGTTTGAAGATAACTATACACGTCCAACGAGGCAAAATGCTAGAAATGCCAGTAAGGAAGCCACAGTCCAAGACAAGTACAAGGTCAATAAGGAACCCGAGAGTGCAGACATTTATGAAGAGATTCCAGCCGATAGGGATTCAAAGTACCAGACGCTGAAGTCAATAGGACCTGAACATGGATATGCAACACTTGGAAACAATTTGGAAGCTAATCGCCTTAGTTACCAAACTGTTGGAAGACTGAGCAACGTGGAACACACATACGCTACTCTAGGAAACGGCAGTGAACGAACGTTCGGCGATAACGCTGTAGGATATGACGATCCACCGCCATATGATACAATTAAAGCGAACTACATAGATGTTAAGCCACAAAAGGGATCCTTTGTGAAATCTCTGGCATGTAAAGTTTTAATAGTTGTTTTGTTATGCGTCGCAGTTTTGATCGGCGGCGTCATAATTGGGCTATTCATCTCCGGCAAACTCGACGGTAAGATACACTTTGACGTATACTAAAAATTAATAATTTCAACAAGGATGTTTGAACAGGTACGGCGTAGTTCAATATATAATGTTTGTTTATCCTGCTACCTGGGATCCTGCTTTGTAATTTCATCGATTTTTAATTCTTAGAAGGCGAGCGAGCATGGAGGAAGTAAAGTCATTAGAATTACATGTATCATGACAAAAAAAACTCCAGAGCATTCGATTTGGTATTTGTATTACAAAAAAATCTCCACACTATATAAGCTTAGTAGGAATTCCATGACGTCATTTAAAGGTGTGACGGGGTATCTTGCAATAAAACTTTGTTTTGCCCATCGTATATCCATATCGTGCCCCGCTGTCTGCCCCAAAGTATTCACGCAGTAGCGAACGGTGAGCCCAAACGGCCCTTGCCGTCCCTTTACACCAAGAAGGCTGCGGGTTTCGTATGAAAATAATGCCTGCGTCTCAACTCTAACTTAAGTGCCTTGAAGCATTCAAAATTATGAGTAACTAATGTTTTTCACAAGGATATCGTGTTCTACATTTTTTACATTTAGATGACGAAACTCATACAACAACTCAAACAACAGGAGAAGTTACAAGAACACCAACAATACTAGATATGGGACAGGGGAGCACGGGAAAAACTTCACAAACAGCTGGAACGGTAAAATCGACAAAATCAGTTGAATTCTCATCCCCAACGCTGAAATCAACGACAACACCTGAATTCTCATCTTCAACAATGAAATCAACGACGACAACACCCAAATTCTCTACAAACGTGACAACACCACGAAGCACGGCACCGTTACCCACTGATCCCGGTGTTCCAACATTAGGTATTATCAAAACTTTGTATTTGATATTCTTGAACTATTGATTTTTATGTCATTTTGTTGTATAGTCTTCAACCTTTTTGTGGACGACGGTTGGTGTTCGATCAGCGTCTATAACGGTGTCGGTTACAAATGGCAGGTGGTAACAGTTTGCATGTTAATGCCTGTTATCAAATCCTTTCGTCAGTGCCTTTTTTCAAAGTCTAAACTATATATAAGAACTTCACTTCATGTATGCACTAAGTTAGTCTCTTTAACCGAAAAATAGGAATTGAGTTTTGAAAGCAAACACCTGTGCGGTCCCTGGGAGCCTCTCAAGCGTGAAGACGCCCTTACCCTGTGTTTATTGGAAAGATTTATAAGATGCATCGAAATCTCTTTACTATTAAATTGCAACAAAATGTAGTTTCATATGACACAAAAATTTAGATTAATCGAAATCTAACTATTTACTATTAAATTGCAATAAAATATAGTTTCATATACGACGCATGGTCAATCTGGTCTGCGTGGTCTGGTTGCTTAGCAACGTGTGGAATTTAAATTGGAAAGGTTAATTTAGATTAATCGGAAACTTACTATTTACTATAAAATTGCAACATTATATAGTTTCATATGGTACATGGTCAATCTGGCCTGCGTGGTCCGACTGTTCAACTACGTGCGGAGAAGGTAACCAGAAAAGAAGCCGACAATGCAACAAGCGAACAAATTCAGATCTTGATTGCCCAGGAAACGATGCGGAAACCAGACAGTGTAATCTTGGAAATTGTCCTAGTAAGTTAGCAATTATACTTTGAAGAGACTGACTATTTTCTATAGCTTGGCTTGTATTCGTGAATGCAACTAACGGTTTCCGGCTACCGGACTATTTTATGGGCAACTCATTTAGATTTGAATAGTACCTGCCACTATTCCATTCATATTTAAGCGACTTGGTCAAAGTATAGTAGGTTAATCCGTTAGCCGACAGCCGAAAGTTGCGTTCGCGAATTCAATCTTAGATTTGAAGATCTTTGTTATTTTGTCGCGGTTATTGAGCAATCTTGTGTAACACTTAGAGGCTATTTTACAGAGAATATAAAGTCAAGGTCGTTCTGAGTAAGATGCATTTTTAAAATATCATTCAGGTAGAAGATGTATGTATTATTTTCTATTTCTCGATTTGCACACGTTGACTGTTTAACTTCTATAGTAGGAAATAGGAAGATGTCCTCTTGCTGATAAGAAGTCAATATCTAGAATTCAATCCTTCATAAAACTACTGGGTCTAGCCAACCTAGATCCGTTAGTCTAGTAACAAAATTACCCCAATTTGAACTATCTTGACACTGAACAGATCCTGAAAAAGAAGACGAACATACTGTATACTGATACTCGTGCCCGGGTGATTTATTGAAATCTTTTGACAGAGGAAAATAGTCAGATGTGCTTATTTTAGATTTTAGTAAAGCGTTTGACATGGTATCCCGCATGCCTACCTTCTGCGTTGTCAGAAGCATGGGCTTTCAATATTGAATGTCCATGTCAGAAATATGGTTCAGCGATAAAACCCAGACGCGTTTACAAAGGTACCCAACGGTGAATTATTTGATGAAGTAGATGCAGTATCGGGAGTTCCACAAGGAACTGTCTGGGAATGTCTGTCCATGTTTTTCTATGCATATTGTATGCTTCAGATCAAATTATCTCACATCAGACTATTTGCCAAGATATGCAAAACATCAAACCACTCCATACTCGAACGAGTCCATCATTAAATTGAATATGGTGCAGATATATACCACAAGGTATGTGTACCACAACGGCACAATGGAACTTGGGTTGGTAACCACAAACCAGCCTAAGTTTCCCGACAGCTGACCGAATGCCCTAAAAGGTGGTTCACAGACACGTTACGTAACTCTAAACGTTTACCGTAAAAAGCGTAAAAATTACACCCTGCTTGCTGCTTCTTTCTTGACTGCATTGTTTTAACCCTGCTTTTAAATGTATACAGTACACCTGATTTTGAACTGAATTTCAGTGCTACTGAAAGTATTCGTTATTCTTCGTATGGCCCATGCAGATAATGATATATTTGTATGTCATTCTTTGTTCAGATTAAATCTGCCAAACACAAACTGATTTATTTTACAGAATGCGATAGAAAGTGTGTTGGTAGCTTGATACAAGAAGATTGCCTCTCCTGTCATTGTGTCACTAGTCCTTCACGCCACTTCCGGGTTGTCAACACGCAGACGACTCCGTTAGAGGGGGCTTCGGTCGCCAAAAAAGATGTGGCTCATACAATTTTGGCTACAACAACGGGTGATGGAACAATAGAAATCAAAAATTCTTGCGTTGGAGATGTGTATGTTGTCAAAAAGGATCGTTTTGTTGATGCGACGGTTAAAGTATCGAATCAAACTGACTATGTTGTCAGGATGGAGGCTTTAGGTAAGAGTGTACCCATTATGGTCATTATATTTACGAATTACTTACTCGTTTTCAAGAATAATTTAGGGCCTAATTCGGGTGACCATGTTACTTATGTTTAACTTTTCGGAAAAAGACAGATAGTAATAATATTATTTTATATTATGTAATTTACCAACTTTACTGAACTAAGCTACAATATCGTTGCATTTTAGAACGCCTTGAAATGAAGGAGCATCCAAAAGACACGGTCGCCCTGGTAGGAGACAATCGGACATTATCATGCTTGGCTTCCGGTAAACCACAACCAAACAAATATGAATGGTATGTAAGTTCGTCCAATATGCAGAGATAAGCGCACAGATCTGACACAAATATTCATTAGAAGAACTTTAAGAAATAAGGTGTCCGTGAAGGCCCTACTATGTAAACTATATTGAATCAACAGATGAAAGGTAAATAGCCAATTTTTCAAGTGATCAATTAAACAATGTATTTACATATCATCATTTAAATGAATCGTTCAAATTATTTTAGGTTTAAAAATGGGATTCCGTTGGATCCTCAAGTGTATACAGCCAATGCTAATGTATTGCATCTACAAGATGTAGTAAAACAAGATGGCGGCATGTACAGCTGTATGGCCACATCGGACTATGGTGTCGCGCTGTCTAAATCTGCTCTTCTTATTGTGAGGGGTAAGTGAGAACAATTAGGCCTACTTTATTGTGTGGTGATACGGAAGACTAATGGAGCCAAAACAGGTTTCAAATTCGCACCACTTATAGACCAGGAAGTTTGTAGTTTTTTCAGCATATGGTTATGTCAATATTGCGTGGCAAGACTTCGTAGTCATATGCTTTGTCATGATTTTGAATAGGATATACAACCTTGTATACTCTCCTAAATGGATATCTTTTTTGTGTCACGCGTCTGGCGTTCAGTGTCTGTAACAAATGGTAGGTAGTGACATCTTGCATGTTAATGTCTTGTTGTTTTTGTCATTTTCAGATAGTGGAGATGACTTCTGTGAAACAACTCCGAAAGACTACATGAAAGCCTTACCTAAAGATTGTCCCCAGAGTGGTTCCGTTTTCCATTACAACGTGCGACGCTGTGCAAATAACGCATGCACAAAGAATCCTCAAACAGGAGATGCGTCATACTGCTGCGGTCCAACCAAGCAAGAAAAGAAGCAGATTACGTGTAATGGCTACCAGCTTGATGTCGTTGAGGTTCTTGAGTGTGGTTGCATCATTTGCAACAAGGCAAACATAGGAACAACAGTAACTACAAAGTCAATGAAAGTTACATTCTCTGGCAGGGCGTTCGATTTGTCAGATCCGACGACGGCACTAAGTTTTGGGAAAGTGTATCTGAACGGTGAAAATGTGGGCAGTACTGCATTTGATGGATCATTTAGCTTTGTCGTACCAAAGGATAACCTACGTGTAGTGTTAACCTTGTCAGAGGATTGGTCTACTAGAGGATTTATCAATACAACAAAAGTTTTCTACATTCCAGCAGGGTTCACGGGAACATTTTACAGAGATTATCCAATGATGAGAGTCGGTAACATAGAGAAGCTATCTTCCTCCATACAGAACACATTAACACTGGCGAAGACGGGAACACAATCACCTCTCGCAGAAGTCGTAATTCCTCCAAATGTATTCTTCAAGGAAAACGGCGACCAGTACACTGGGGAGGTCAAAGCTGGTGTTCGTTTCATTGACCCAAGAAACACGACAAATTATGAAAACATTGTAGGTGATTTGACTTACGTTGATGAGAACGGACAAGTTGGAGGATTACAAACGTTTGGAATGTTTAACTTAGACTTTAAGGACACTGAAGGAGGTCAACTGGGTGTACAAGGTATTGTTGAAATGGCTATTAATGCTGAATTCCTGGGTGTAAGTGACCCTGCTATGATGACAACAGATGTGAAGTTGTGGTCGCTTAACTCGAACACCGGGCGCTGGGAACTGGAAGGTACATTAACAAGGGGAACTGCTGTAAATGGAAGAAGAAAAAAACGATCCCAATCAAACTATGATACCACGTTCTTCATTGGTAATGTCACTATAACGGATCGCTATTGGTTCAACTTTGATAACGATGAATTGAACTACTGTTATGTCAAGATGAAGACATACACTGATGCGTCACTTAATACAGAACTCCCATGGAACGCTGACACTGAGGCAACCGTCATCGCCATGGACTCAACTCAAACAGGACAATGGGCCCAAGTCACCACTGGGAGCATGTCGTATGATGGTTTCACCGGGGCAGCATCTGACGGCGATTGCGTTCTAACAGTCTGCGGAAGTGATAAGTTTACCGGTTACTTAATGGTTGATGACCCGGATGGACCATTTCGTGGTTCATCGACACTGGGCGGGCAGTCAACATCTCCTGCAGGGGCTGTGCAGTTGAAGACAACACGTCTCGGAGTTGGGGATAATGCTTTGAACTATGATAGAGTCATCAACACGACGGTCTCCCCACTAACCTCAAGCGGACCCATTTATCATGCTGGAAATTCAATGTGTTATAATCAAAGTTCAACTTTCTGCTCCTACTGCTTTACGGTAGAGTGGTTGCCGACGTGTGTGCTTTGCGACAGCTGGAGTTGTCAATACCCCGCTACGGTGTCGTACGCCAACTGCATTGCCGCCAACTCAACGTCTATTCCACATTACCGCTTTTTCAAGGACTCAAAATTGTACGAGTATACCGTATGTGAGACATATTTCGATTGTGAGAATTCTCCGGATTTATATCCACTTATATGGTATCCTCCTCTTGGCAATGCTTGGGCGTGGTATGTCAAGGTGAAGGTTGAGGTGATTAAACAAGAGTACATCTATGACACAATTAAACAACAGCATGTTATGACAAACACGACCTTACCCGATGAATCAGTCGTTCGTGCAGTTAGCCATGGAGGAACACACCCTAAGACCGACGGTAAAATATTTGGTATTCGGGAAGATACGACGAGCCAACACACGACCTGCCTTGAGTTCAAAGGCAGTGGAGACATTATATTTAAAGAAAACGGAAACTTTCAACAGGGTACGGATGAAACGGTCGTAGATATCAAAGTGGATGGGACCAATTGTCGAATTGCATGGGTTCTACCCGGACTGAAGGATTACGAACATTCACATTCCGGTTTATTTGGATTCAAACTCCCCGATGGCTCCATAAGAGGCGGGGACTCTACTGGCATATATTTCAACGACGATGCCAATCCAGATACGGCTGAGAAGGTTGCGAAGGCTCGGTGTAATTGTGGAGATATTCAGCACGGGTCACCAATCTGCCCGGAACATCAACCAGACGAAGGGGTGGGCCTAAAAATAATATGTTCGCCACCATAAGGACTGCGTGTGTATTTAAGTGGTATAATGTTCACCCATCTCAAAATTATTGTCTTATACTTATCCCCTTATAAAAGTGAAAGAAAGAATCCCCCCCTGGCCAGAAATTCTTTCAAAATCATGCAGTTTTTCACCATTCTGAGAATTTTTCGAATGATTTTTAGCCAAAATTGTGAAAAAGCTCCCCCCTGGAAAAAAGCTCCCCCTCCTGGTAAAAGCTGGCTACGGGCAAGCTAGTTACCTAATTCTTTTCAACTAGCTGGTTCAGTATACGACATTTTTAACAAAGAGAAGCCCAGTTAAAGGATGGCCGATCATAAGACAATAGTTGTTTGTAAATAACGTTTTAATTTACGTCTGTTCGATGTTTGCTTTGTATTTTAAAACATGCTGTAGTGCATGTGTACAAGAAATTTTGGTTACCTGGGGATTATGGTCCCCTTTCCTTACTGGCCCTGACTGTGTATAAATAGTAAGGAAAATAATCGTAATTAGGTCACCATATAAATCAATAGAGAGTAGGACCAAAATTTGATAGGACCACTTACCCTTTTACACCGGTGTAAAAGGGTAGGTGGTCCTATCAAATTATGGTCCTACTCTCCATTGATTTATATGGTGACCTAAATACAACTCTTTCCCTCATTATCATATCATATACGCAATCAGGGCCAGTAAGGGCCGTTAAGAAAGGGGACCATAATCCCTGGGGGACCATGATTTCTTTCACACCGGCTTTGTCTCATAAGCCAGTAAAACGATTTCAGTATACAACGGAACCTGTATATAAGAACACTTCTTTAACCCGAACGGCGAACACCTCCCAATGTGAACACTTTTTCGTTTCAATATTTCCTACAATTGAAGCCCATGTTAATAAACCTTGAAATGTGAACTGTGAACAACATGTTTTATACAATATTGCTCAAATGTTCTCTATTAATCACTGTTTTTATAATGTTAGAACTTTTGAAAAACATTGAATTGTTTCAATCGTAATGTGACTTTCTTTCAAAGTGTGACCACCTCGTTATCTAAAACGTTTAGCTCATTCCGATGACATTCGGATTAAACAGGTTTTACTGTACGTAAGAAAATAAGAAGTATTTTACTTAGAGATACCTACACAATTTGCATTTCTTTCCATGGGCTTTCAACAGAAGCCCGTGGTCTTACTTTTTAGTTTGAAACATGTGTTTTGAAGTGCGTTGATGTTATAATGCACATGCTGACAAATGTCATCGTTGACATATTAGTTTTGTTTTAGATATTACATCAACAGTGATCTATGATAACGAAATCATAGCTGCTGGTCTGCTGTGACTTCGATGACATAAATCACCATGGTATAAGTCAATTTGCTAGATGTAAGATGTTACAAAGTCATTGTATATTTACATCAACATATTTTACCTGAATTTAAGATGATGCCAAAGTGCGTAGCTACACCCCCTGCATAAGTTTAGCAATCGGAAGTTCTCTTTTGGCTCACTTATCAAAGCCTATGTATGGTTGGTAATATAAAAAATCAAAGTCATAAAATGAGCCCAAGATTCAAACTTCAACAAGTTTTGATATGCTGTCCGACAAGGATTTCAAGTTGCCAAATTTATTGAGGGGAGTGTATGTCAGTTTATAAACCGGGGGTCATTAACGAAAAATTCTAGATCAATTATTGTAACCATGGAAAAATGGCGCAATAGTGAAAGAACAATAGCCGTAAGAACTCTTCACTTTTAAGAAGTGTTTTTTATTTATTTATGTGTCTTGCTTTTATTTCCATAATCAAATATGGATTTAACATATAAACACTGATAAACATTAAAACTTCTGATACAGCTTTTGGAAATCAAATGATACACCAGATACTGTAAAACAGTTTTTCTGAGATTTTGAAATTCCATTTATGAGTTGACGTGTCGTACTATAGGGTCTAAGAATCGAGCCCCTCATACGGCAGTACAAATAAAAGTGAAATTATCAATATGCCTCATGAGTCATGTCACCATGGCAACAGTTCTGTCACAACAAACATTGATTAAAGCCTATACATATACATACATATTTATTCAGAGAATATTTTTGACTTTATTATATACTTAATATTACATGTTCAATGTAATAAAACATTGTCATATCAATGAAGTATGCACATATGGTGATCCACTCGATTACGCTAATTACGAAACGGTTCGTTTCGGTAATAAAATGTCGGAACCTCGAAGGTACGATTTTTTATTTTTTTTATTTCACTCATTGTAGGCAGAATTCCCACGACATTTTATCACAATAGTTATTGCAGATCTTAACCGTTTTTGAAGTTCCATTTACGTAACAAAAGTGAGGCATTAAATCGACGTTTCGGTTGTCTTCTGAACTGAACTTCTGTGAGAGTCGTAGGAGTTCTGCCTACAACGTGTAAAAAGGGAAAACATAGAATTGCACCTTCGAGGTTCTGTAATCGAGTGGATCACCAGTGATGTCATGGGCTTTCAACTAATGAAAGCCCATGGTGATATGATACGTACTATTTAATCTTTATACACACAGGGTACGTACCAAATTAAGCGTGACAGTTGAACGCGCGGCTTACGGTACAACACGGGGGTGATGGAATTTGAGCAAACGGATGTTTTCATCGTTTCAGAAAGATGCGGTCTAGTTTCTAGATATTTTTACATGTGAACGTCTGTAACAACATCCTAGACAGTGAAATTGTCGGTGAATTTCATAGTAAAACCTGCACAAACGCCGAAGTATACGGTATAACGCGCGGTAACGGTAAGGTACAACAAGGGGTTGGAATATGCGTTATACCATCTTACCCGCGCGTTATGTAGTTACACTCGAAGTTTGTGTAGGGTTAACTATGAAATTCACCGTCAAGTTCACTGTCTAGGATATTGTTACAGACATTCACAATATAAATATATCTTGAAATTAGACCAGATCTCTCCATTCTGATACCCATAGCATCTCTCTCTGTTGCATCGCAGAAGGATAGAGATGGAGAGGGTGTGGCTTACCACGATGAGATCTCTCTGAAATGATGAAAACATCAGTTTGTTCAAATTCCACCACCCTCGTATTGTACCGTAGCCCGCGCACTCAACTGTCACGCTTAAAGAAGTACATACCCTGTGTATACAGATTGTTAGAAAGCACACTATATTTTTGTATTATATTTTTGTCTACTTCATGACATTTAAGGTTTCTAATTAGATGACACCTACTTACAATTTGTCTCTGACTTTCATGGACTGTGAGTAGCTTTTCTAATGCTCAAATACTATTTTATGTCTTTAATTGTATTTATTTCTATCGCTTGACCTCTATTTTGAAACATTGTTTTGTGAATAAATTGATCGTGTAAACGTATATTAAAACATTTTGTTATTTAAGGCTAAGTCTGTTAATTGATAACATCAATGTTACTTACTTAAATATATATTGATGTTAATAATTAAACGAGATTGTGATAAAAGGTAATTGTCATTTCACCTTAATAACACTGAACAAGGCATTAACATGACAAAATGTCATCACCTAGTTGCTCACAATATTATGAGTTCAATCTTAAGTCAGATTTGAATTTCTGAGAACTTGTAGGCCTAGATGATTTTGAAAAAAAATAAATTGGTCAATTTGAAGTAAGTTGAAAAAATACTTTTTATCGCACTTTGAAAAAGTGCTATATTGTCGTCGTCTTGTGCTGTTGGGCGGGCGGGCTTGCGTGCGGGCGGGCGGGCGGGCGGGCGAGACATAAACCAAATCTTGTCATCAAATTTCCAGGATAACTGCTTACCTGTTCAACTTGAAATTTTTACAGATGCAAGAGCAGACTAGTACCAAGATCTGATTAGGTTAAGAGCATGCTGGGTAAACTACGTGGCGGCCATTTTGAATTTTTCAACAAATCTTGTCATCAAAATTCCAGGAAAACCACTTATCCGTTCAACTTGAAATTTTTACAGATGCAAGAGCAGACTATTGCCAAGATCTGATTAGGTTTTTGGTATGCTGGCTGAATTACATGGTGGCCATTTTGAATTTTTCAATTTGGTGGCCATTTTGAATTTTTCAACTTGCTCCAAATTGACCAATTTTTTTTTTAAAAACATCTACAAGTTCTCAGAAGTTCAAATCTGACCTTAGATTTCAGATTTGACCTTTCGTTCACCTTCAGTGACCTTAGTAGGTCAAAAAAGTTGATTTCTAAATTGATATTTTGGATTTAAATTTAGGTCAGCTTAATTACAAAACACTTACTGAGGTCTGAAAAAGTAAAATTTCAAGGTCGAAGGTCAAGGTCATTAAACTAGGTCACAAATGATGTTATCCACGTTTCTCAAAGTTTGAGACTACAAATCAATTCTTGTCATCAAAATTCCAAGAAAACCGCTAACCTGTTCAACTTGAAATTTTTACACATGCAATAGCAGACTAGTGCCAAGATCTGATTAGGTTTAGGGCATGCTGGGTAAACTAGGTGGCGGCCATTTTGAATTTTTCAACAAATCTTGTCATCAAAATTCCAGGAAAACCACTTATCCGTTCAACTTGAATTTTTTACAGATGCAAGAGCAGACAATTGCCAAGATCTGATTAGGTTTTGGGTATGCTGGCTGAATTACATGGTGGCCATTTTGAATTTTTCAATTTGGCGGCCATTTTGAATTTTCAACTTGCTCCAAATTGACCAAATTTTTTTTTAAAAACATCTACAAGTTCTCAGAAGTTCAAATCTGACCTTAGATTTCAGATTTGACCTTTCGTTCACCTTCAGTGACCTTGAAAAGGTCAAAAAGTTGATTTTCTAAATTGATATTTTGGATTTAAATTCAGGTCAGCTTAATTACAAAACACCTACTGAGGTCTGAAAAAGTGAAATTTTCAAGGTCGAAGGTCATCAAATTAGGTCACAAACAATGTTATCTAAATTTTCCAAAGTTCAAGACTACAAATAAATTCTTGTCATCAAAATTGCAGGAAAACCGCTAACCTTGTCAACTTGAAATGTTTACAGATGCAAGAGCAGACTAGTGCCAAGGTCTGATTAGGTTTTGGCCATGCTGGGTAAATTGCATGGTGGCCAGTTTGCTCTTCAAAGTGCGATATTTATCACTGTGTGTCTTGTTTTGACCCTGAGAAGGTCATTGAAGGTGTTATCTCAAATCTAAAGTCAGATTTCAATTTCTTGAGAACTTGTAGATAATTTTGAAAAGGTCAATTTGAAGCAAGGTGAAAAAAGACCTTTTTGACCTTGAGAATGTTATTGAAGGTCAGTTCTTTGTTGACCTTGAGAATGTCATTGAAGGTCAAATCTATAGTCAGATTTGAACTATTGAGAACTAGAAGATAATTTTGAAAAAAAAAATTGTTCAATTTGAAGCAAGTTGAAAAAAATACTTTTTTGACCTTCAGGTCAAATCTTAAATATAAAGTCAGATTTTAACTTCTGATAACTTGTAGATGATTTTGGAAAAATTAGTCAATTTGAAGCAAGTTGAAGAAAAAAGACCTTTTGACCCTTTTTAACCTTCAAAAGGTCATTGAAGGTCAAATCTTAAACCTAGAGTCAGATTTGAACTTCTGAAAACAGTATTTGTTATGTTATTAGAAGTTGTAAGAATTTGCTACAGACGCCGATCGCCAACCGCCAACCACCAACCATCATCCGCCGTCAAAAAACGGAGACCATAACAATTTGTGTCACCACTTTTTGGTGGTGACATAAAAACGAACTCCCTTTCGCATACTTGGTTTTACTATTTTTGTAAAATTGATTAACGTTGGACAGTCATAAAGAGACGAGGTGAAGGTAAGTTTTCGTTCTCATAATCCATAATCCCACCTGTTCTTCCCAAAAAGTTCAATCGTTCTGACTCGAGGAAAATTCTTTCAAGAAAAAATTTCAAGAAGTTTGAGCCAGTAGAATTCAAATGGAAACACCAGCCTTACGTAGGTTAATACACGTAAATAACAATTTTAACTAAATTTTTGATTCCATGCGAGCCCTACGTACCGAGTGCTCTTAATGTAACGCTCATGGGCAATAAACTGGATGTCGTTGCGTTTAATCTCAAACAGTAATATTTTCATAATTCACACCATAAATGCATCCGTACTGAATATCATTGGTAGTTTCCCTTTTAGAACACCCATGTACAGTAAGACCTCCTGTGTTAGTGAACCCCTCTCTATAGTAAGCATTTTTATTTGGCGAAACCTTTTTCCCCACATTAACCCCGATGTAAATTACATTCCTACAGTATAGTGCATAATTCATCCTATAAAAAGTGAACACTAAATCTTGGCATAATTGAATTGTCCTGTGCATATGGATCATTGAACCAGATATATGATTTCTCACGATTTTGAGAGCTTCCTTTTGAGGGCGAAATAATTTATGTCACCTGTCATTGGGGCTTTTATAGTTATTATAATTCTAATAAAGCCTCTCGTCAAGAAAATGTTCAATATACACAAGTTTTACAGTACGCTCAAGCAGGTGGCTCTCATTACGAACATCCCTAGTAAACCCCAACAACATTTTAAATGACCACATGGACATCGGGAGAGGATACTTATGCCTCAGTCACATTTGATCTACGGCAACCGTATGGCGGAGGGACGTAGATTCCCTAAATCAAGAGAAATAGGCAGCAATATAGGGATAAGCAGTAGGAATATTATCTTTATCGATTTTGTGAAGCTATGGCCGCCGTAGAGCAAATAGACTGACGCTGTAGGGCCCTAATTATGGTTCACACAAAACAGTCAATTAATATTTTGGCATTTTCATTTTATTTCATATCTTTAGTAATGTACAATAACCAGACATTGTAACATGATTGTTTAATGAGAGAATATGAGATATGATATGCTGGTAAACTAGATAACAATATATCCTAACAACCTCCATTGTATAACCCATGGGGTGTTATTTGGTACTGTTTACATTATGGATGTGGAGAAGTTACACAATCAAATAATGATAAATACTATTCATTCTGCATTCTTTACATTCATATAACAGACATGTGAAATATTTTGTTGTGCACTGTGTATTATATTGTGATGTAACACAATTTATGATATAGAATAAGATAGAAAAGATCAAGTTCACCAGTGCAAATCTAAAACTAACTCTAGGGTATCTTTTTTTCATTGTTTCATAGATTACTTTAATATTCACAATATTTGAGATGTTAACATAATATATCATATCTGTTTCAACTCATTTAATGCCTGATTTGTGAAAAACAATACATCATAACAGCACACTCAATTGGCAAGTACTTTTTACGATTTTCAAGACACAAAAATCAATATATGATAAGTGTTAAAACAAGTATTAATCATAATATCAATTGATACATTAAATAGCAAGTGACACTTTTATGTTGGCAATTTCTTGTTACTTTTATGAACATTTAAAAACGTGCAATGTATGACAATATGTACAATAAATATCAGGTACACTGTTGTGACAGTTTGAACACAAAAACCCTGTCAAAATGAAAACTTAGAAGACACTTCATCCAACTATATCCTTTTATAGTCTATGAGGTATTTTGAAATATTTTGTAACTTGCATTGAGACTGGATATGATATCAATAAAACTTCTCTTCCCCTTTTGTAACACAAAACATAGAAAATAAAGATCAAGTTTATTTCAGCTTGTCCCAACTGTGTTGATTTTTAAAAGGTTTTGGCTTATTTCAAATAGGCAGGGAAAGCTACACGTTTTTAAGAGAACTTGTACGCGAACAGATAATATTATAACCATCTCAATTGATTTTTCAATTAAGAAGTACATACTATGAAGGGAAAACTAATCCCTAAAAGGACCATAATTCTACAAGTTCAAATACAACTGTTTTCTTAAAAAAAACATGGAGCTTAACCACCATATTCAGTTATAATCAACCTTCAGAGAATCTGAGGATTCTTACATTTGGCTTAGTGCATTGACACTCAGAAGATTGGCAATAAAAACATTGGTTTTGTGCAAGATTTGGTTTGGCATTAAATAAGACAGCTGCAGTATTGGTCAACAAATGTCATTTTTTAATTTTTGATGTGTTTATATTCTGACTGAAAAAAAGAACAATATTTCAATTTCAATCAAATTTTACACCTTTCTCAACTATAATTTAATCCATTCGTACGCTTAATACACTAGCAGTATAAAAGACATGTTCACATGGCCATGGAGAAACATAATTGTCCATCATTTTGACTTCACAATTTTCTTAAAAACTTGATCTAATAATACGCCAACAAGTAACAAATTCCTGTTTTCAAGGTATTTTGCTTAAGGTAGGTTGAGAACAACAAATAATTTCATTAATTAACCTATTACATGTAGGTTTGCATAGAGATAAACAACACACTCGATCCACCTTAATTTAAATTTCTTCATTGCTAGGTTAACATGAGTCCCCAAACTGCATAATATAAATATTTCCTAAAGTCTCTATATTTATGTGAATGTTAGGCCAGCCTCACTGTACACCTTAAAGATCTTCTCAAGGGCGTTAATGTAGGCTGCAGTACGGAGATCTAGGCCTAAGTTGTATTTCATAGCAGTCCGCATAATAGCCTGAAACAAAGACATATTTTCAATCATCATTGTTATATTCATTTAAGATATTATCAAAACAAATATTTTCAATACATGCATGTCCTGTATATGATAAGAACTGAAATCTAACAAGGTGTCATTATACAGAGAATTCCTTGAGATCCATCATTTTGGTTTGTATGATATTTCCTGTTTGTTTATAGTCTTACACTTAACCCCTGGTTATCCCCCATATCTTACACATCTCTACAGATGTTTAGTCTAACATCAAATCTCTGGCCTCAATAATAGATGGTAGATCATAGGTTACCATACCATTTACACCTGTACAGTCTAGCATCAAGCTTCTGACTTCCAGATACACCAATGGAGAGTGAATCAGAGGTTTAATGCAGGACTATATTATTTGCAAGTGTAAGACATGAGGAGGAGAAGTACTTACACAAAAACATCCTGCAAGACTTAGCCAGTATAACACATTTTTGTGTGAAGGACTAGACCCTCGATTTGACTCTATTTTTTAGTGTGGAAATGTTTCTCGTTTTTACCAATTTGCCAAAGGTTATTAAGATAGTAAATTAAATGAAAATTAAATGATAATTAAACCTACCCTTGATGATCTTTCCATGGTATATTCTAGACCTGAGTGGACTATATCTTTCTCAGATGCTCCCTAAAATCAGACAATTACTTTAATTCATTTTAAAGTTTCCCAAATGATAGGAGGAGGCAATAAGCGCAACATACATGTAAAACATCATTCTGTTCCTTGAACACATCTAACACTACATGTATCTATTTTTATTTATTTTATAAAAAGAAAATTCTGTAAAAAATTATGAAAAACCACCTGTGACTGTTTATCTTGAAGATAGGGTTATTTATGTGAAATCTATCCATACCCCTTTTAATATACACTGATTTTTTACTTTACTTTTTTAACTGTAATACAAAAATCCACGATATTATTTCAAAATTGGCATTTCCAGGTCTGAAGGAACCTTGAATAAGAGAGTATTTTAAAATGCACCATTCAAAGGTTTTCGTGAGACCCCATTGGGGAAAAATTAAAATTAGGCAGTTCCCTATCCTGAGAGCAATAACAACTGGTCAAACATGGTCAGAATTTTGATTACTAGATATAGACATGCCAAAGGTTCCTACCCCTGGTACAAAGTACTAAAAATCCCAACCCCTTGACATACTGCTTGTCAAATTCTAAATCCTCCCAGCATGAAGGGAGGGGTGTCTCACGAAAATGTTTGAATGGTGTATCACTTACAGAAATTCTGTTCTCAAATGCCTCGCTAGGGGTGATAGGTATTCTTCCACCTGCTTTGCCAAACTTACGCTCCAATGAATGTTGCACACTCTCTGCAAAACAACACTTAAACTTTTACTATCATTCCTATTTGGATACAATACAACAAAATAGATTTATACATTTGTCTTTGTCCCAGGGACACAATCAATTATTCAATATAAAGTAAGTTTTTGATAAGAAAGTACATTAAGAAGCTGTTATGTTAAAGTGGTGTGTTTCTCTGGATTTCATGGTGAGGTAAGGGTGTAGTGCCATTCCTTGGATTGATTTATGAAATACATGTAAGTGGGTACCTTGAGAATATTACCATTTGTTGTATTATTATCTTCATATAAATGTATGTACAGGTTTCAAGCCAAATTGTTTAATAAAATGATCTGAACTTTTTACCCTAAAATATTTTCTTTAAAATATTCTCTACATGTTTCAAACGAAATTGTTTGATGGAATGATCTAATATGTAAAGGCAGTTTCATCATATGAAAGTTTAAAACTGATTAGTTTTTGGCCATCATGGGAAAATAGCAACTATTTTTGACTTTCAATCCTAAAACATATTTTCTATACAAGCGTGCCATACTGTTCACCATCCTTGCTTAACAGTGCCTTTTGAATTTTCCCTATAATCATTTCTGTTATCATGGACAATTAACTGTCACAAATACTGTATAAACTGTTAAATACTTGTGTGGGTATTTGTGTCACTGCATATTGTATATATCATGAATTCCAGCGTGACGGAATCACACATTTGACGAAAAAACGACATTTAAAAGGCCATCTGTCAAATATACAGGGGTTTCTTGATCTTATATAGGATCTTCTAGAAACAGAGTTGTTTTGTGTGTCTATAAAAAATGTCAATATAAATGTGCGTTAACATTGTTTTTATTGTTACAGGTTTTTTTCTCCTCCGTGACGGAATCACTTGTAGTTTTTCACAAAATGTCCCCTACTACCATCATCTTTCATTTCCTGCTCATTTTGACCTATTGGAGTGCTCGTTTTGACTTAATTCTATCGTTAAGACAATAGTTCAACGAAATAAACCCATTCATGTGTTTTACAATGTTCTGACACTGTAATGTTGAAATCATTATGCCGTTACGGAATCACAATTTTAAGCGTGATGGAATCACGAGACGAAAATTAATAAAAAGAAGTTGACTTTGAACCGTGTAGGAAATATCACGATTAACATTTTGTGCAATGATAAACTATTCAATGGAATATCATCATCGAATATATCGTCGTGTAGGTCGTACGGCATCAGGAACCATAACACTCTTTTGAATTCCCCTGTCAAAAGTGACATTGTTAAAATCAATGGGAATTTAGGTGATTCCGAATCTAGAAAATTGCTCAACTGAAGCTGGCAATTAAGATAGGTTGAAAAAAACTTAGCTAACATTTAATTGATACTGCAATATCAGCAAGGCGACTAAAACAAAAATATATCATCAATTAGGGTGGTGGACCAATTGAACTCACCTTTTAGATCAAATATAATCCAAGTTGAAGGACTTGTTACATTATATTATTAAAAGGACAATTTAATTCTGGAGTTACTTGAGAAACTTCAGTTTTGTATGATATAATTTTACAGATTTACAGCCAATTGTTAGTAGGTGGTACGGCCACCACTTGCTGGATGGATATGATTACAATGAGGATCCGAAGAAAGGTTCAGCATTGCGTAAACCTTTAAGCATTTTCCGCATATTCTTAAGAAATACATCCTTACTGTGTCCATTTTCAAGAGGCCCCCTATCCATCAGTTCTCCTACCCTGTCTTTCACAATTGAACAGGGTAGTTGAGATCTGGGCTATTTCCTACATATTAATCATTTCCAAGATTTGACCTTAAACCAGTAAAAAAGTAGCAAACAAAGTAATGAAGTAGCAAACTTCAAAACAATGAAGCTTTTTTAATTTTAAGTTTTATGAAATGCAATTTGATGAGTAACTCCAAAATTAAATTATCTTTCAAATGAGATACAACACGCCATGTAACATTAAGGAGTTTTTGCTGTGGAGGGGGGTGCCGTTGTTTTTTGACATCTTATGTTGATGTTTATATATAAATCCTATAACTACTGATATACACTGTATGCACATCTAAATCAATTCTTGACAAAATCAACGAAAATATTATATCCACAACAAGAAAATATGTGCTTTGATTTATTCTAGTAATAGCTGATGTGTGTTCTTAAATTGATGAATTATGTTTTATATTAAATGTATGTCTGTGTTGAATGAAGTAATTCAAGTTCTGTGTTTTATATTATTCACTTCAATGTTCTGCTAATGTTAGACATTTACCATCTGGTGATAGTGAGATGTGTCCTTGTGCCATCCTCATGCTGCCAATCTAGGTTCACGCGTAGCTTTCCCTGTGACAATGCATCCCTCACATGTTTGACTGAGTCTAACAAGGATTGTAATAAAATATCACCACTTGAAACATTGTTTGGGAAGTCATCATCAAGTAGTTTCTGCCACCATTGTGTGCCACTGCTGTGTTTGACATGTTTCAACATCCACAGTAGTACAGTCAGTTCTACACTGTTGACATAACCATTGAAAACCCACACCTTCCTATCAGGGTAATATGTATCTGGTAGAAAAATGAATAAACTTAGCACTCTGTATTGATCTGAATCATTGCCACCTGTTTTAAATTGATTGAATATGTATTCTACTACATCTTCAAAACATTTTCCTATATTTAAGTCAGATCCTGTGCAACGTTTTTGATGATTCATGATGAGGAGTTTGTATGAGTAGGATGAGAGGAGACCAGCATATGAGCGCTCATGGTAGATATACCAGTGGATCCTGTTATACAGATGTGAAATGTATTTCAATACAAGGAAAAGCTGTTTATGGTGTCCAGTAGGATTGTGTAACTGGTGATCAGGGGCTTGATGTTGAGGCTCCACTATTGATTCAGTCCAGTGGATATACTTAGGACACTTACCACAATTTGAATCTATAGGTACCAATACAGATCCCTGTGTTCCCTGTACACAGAAACAGAGATCTATGTCTGTGGTGCCTAATGGTCCCCCCACCCTTAGCCACACACTAGGGCCATGTAGATATTCATGCATGGAGAATTTCCCTAGTGTGTAGCTAGGGTGCTGTTCCTTCTTATGATGTCTCTTGCCAATATAGTGTGAACCATGAATGTTCTCTAGGTAGGTGTGCATTGCAGTATGGAGAATGTATCTTATATCTGTTGTCAACCAATAGACATCACCAGGAGGACCAGGTGAGGAAAGAATTTGTAATTCGGCACCCCAATATCTTGAATCTGGGAGAGCAAGTAGTTGTTGCTGCACTTGTCCAGGGTGAATATTAACAACTCCATATCCCTTTCCTGCCCATTCACAGCCATCTATTACATCACACATTTCAACTGAGGCATCATCAGAGAGAGATAATGGATTTAGAAAGTCATACTCTGTTGGACTGACAATCTTTGTTTTTTCAAAATAACTGCCTCTTGGGATTGGATCCTTGGTCTTGAATAGTTTATTGTATTCCCCAAAACCTGAACATATTGACCTGACAAAGTCAGTAACGTATTTTGTATGATGTTCTAGCTCTGCCTCTGTGTATTTGTTTAAAATGTCCACTTTCGCAGCTGTGAGATTAACAAATTCTGTCAGTTGTACATTATCTGGATGAGTTGCTTTGCAATTTCCAAAACACAAACAGCATCTAATTGTATCGAACATTGCTCTTGCCATTGCCATTTTGTCTAATAGTGAAGCGCTGCATGCAGTTGCGTTTAAACTACTGAAATTGAGCCTTGAGACAGGTTAACTCACTATAAGTTTAAAATGTAAAAATTCAGTTTAGATAAATAACATAAACTAAAACCTCAAGTAGACTTAGACAAAGTAGATAATTTATTACCCAAGCTAATTTGATGGCAACACCCTAGTACTTGCAAATTTATTGATGCAATTGACCTTTTTTCTTATAAGGTTTTATTTTCAACCTTTGCATTCATCATACATATATTCATTATGGATTGTAAATGTGCTTAGTATAAGTTTGATGGTACCCTTGAATAAAGTAAAACAAAAAACGGCAACTTTGAGCAGCAGACAGGTGTGATTTTTGAGAGATTCATACTCAGTCGAAAAGTGTTCATAAATCCCTTATTATGTGTTCTTATAATTTTTTTACACTACAACATCATTTGTTGCGAAGCTCTATATATGTTTATAAGTAGCCATTTATTATAAAACATTTAGTATAAATGAGTATACTAAATCCATAATATATTGTAAATTTTGTACAGGATGACATATTCAAATAAAATATTAGATTTTCACAACATGTGACATAATATGTTTTGAGGTATGGACTGTTATCCTGAGGGGTGAATTATCGTTAAAGAAGGAAAATTTCAGATGAATCCCTCAAATGATTTGGCTGGAAACCTGTAGACAAGATTTATCAGGATGCCTGCTTGCCCAACAAACTGATCACAATATAGCTCCCAAGAGTGCAATAAAAATAAATAGTACATACCTAATAAATGGTAGTTGGAGTCCTTCTCATATTTGAATGTCAGCCTTCCATAACTGACGTGGTTCAGATTCTTTAGCCATTCAAAGTATGATACAGTTACACCACCAGCGTTAAGGTACAGATCCTAGAATATTTGAAGAATTACAATTTTAGCCATTCAAAGTATGATACAGTTACACCACCAGCGTTAAGGTACAGATCCTAGAATATTTGAAGAATTACAATTTTAGCCATTCAAAGTATGATACAGTTACACCACCAGCGTTAAGGTACAGATCCTAGAATATTTGAAGAATTACAATTTTAGCCATTCAAAGTATGATACAGTTACACCACCAGCATTAAGGTACAGATCCTAGAATATTTGAAAAGAAGGATTACAATTCTAGCATTAGTTTTCAAAATAATAACGATAATAAATGATAAAAGGCCATTCGATATGGTGAAATTCAGCACAGGTTGGACAGAATATCGTACAAAGCACACATTGAAGAATTTCACCATCATTATTTATTCTGATTCAAAAATAAAAAATGAAAGTATTGTTCAGAAAATTGGGGATTGAGGTTCATGAAATAAACAACTTGCTATTATTTTCGCATTCCCAGATGTGACGTCACAATAAAACATAATACATAGATTCACTGATGCCGTTTGCATAATGAATGGTTGTTCATCTATTGAGAGTTAAAGAACAGCTATGCTGCATTTTGATTGGATGAGAGATTCTGGTATAGCATGGTCATGTTTCAATATGCGTTATAAAGTTGAACATTATGTTGTTGTTGATTTATTAGATTAGCTACATACAATAAAAATAGAAAAACTGCATACGATAGACAATACGATACCAAAAAGTATTTGATTTGAAAGATGATGTGCTTTTCTATTAAAATATCATATAAGGACAACATTGTAAACTGGCGATCTTTTGAAAAACCATTGTGAACTGGTTACTGATAGAGATTTAAATAAGTGATCATAATTGGTGAATCACAAAATTAAAGCGGACATCGAATTCAAACAATTTACAGTAAATATAAGTAAAGAACTTACTGGAATAACGAGAACTTCATTCTCTATGAATATTTTATCTGCTGCAATTGTGGTGGGACCATTGGCGCCCTCTGCTATGATCTAAAGTGAAAAACATAGATATTACTACATATGTAAAATAATTCCATGGGTACAAAAACAATTCCACACACTTATTTCAAATTAAGAAACATCTGGGTATCAACATATATGTTGACGCCAATCCCCAAAAAATAGTGCCTGTAACAATATGTCACCTCTTCTTTTCTGTGACATTCAAAGTTCTTTGTAGTGTTTATCAAAGAATAATACAGAATGTTATAAAAGGTCTACCTTAGCTTGGACTTTGTGTGCGTTGGCACCTGTCAGTTGTTTCTCGCTGGCAGCAGGTACTAGGATGTCACATTTGGAGAACAGCAAGTCCCCGTCATACTCTTCTGTTCCTGGGAAACCTCGACACGTGCCATTTTCCTTAAATTCAATTTTCCCAATGTTTATTATAACAGGGATCAGTACTCACAAGTAGACAGGAAATAGTAACATAAATCAATAAAGGACGGACCAACGGACGGACGGACGGACGCCTGGTCGATCCCATAGGCTCACTATGTGAGCCAAAAACACTAAATAAATACAAGATTATTATATGTTTAGGTACAATAAAAGTACAATAAAGGTACAATAAAGGAATTATACTGGACAACAGGATGATAAAGAGAATGATGTCAACATATCATCTAAAACTTCATTACATATGCTTACAATTTTGTAGTTTTCAAGTTCCTTTGGGTCAATGCCTTCTGGGTTGTACAGCTGGCAGTCAATCTCTTTGATTCCAATGACGCGGCAACCAGCACGATGCAAATATCGCATGGTGTGAAGACCTACATTACCAAATCCCTAAAAAGAAAAAATAGACGGTAACTATTGTTGATACACCCGGGACAAAAATTTGGTACTCTTATGGTATAACATGTTATAAGCTGGACACTGGTTTATTTGAATCTTCAAAGAATTTGTTGAGTGGTAAAATAGCGAGATTATTTTTTTTTCGATTTTATAAACACATACAGATGTGTAGAATGTGTACGTGTAGTTATGTGATGAAAGATTCCAAGTATACTGCAGTATTTTTGCAAGAGAAAGAACTAGTAGTATTATATATCATTTGCAACTCCAAGTGATGTATAAATGGTATACGGTTATGACTGGTGCATATTTCTGCCTGTCAAGAATACATTTGAATCAACAGCTTTAAAACCAGTCCTCATCAGATCTTTCTTAACTGATGCAAATTCTTAATTTATCAATTTTCATTGCATGAAAGAATACTTCTTTGAAAACCTCATTGGACTTCATCAAAAGTAAAATTGAGACAAATGGCGTAAATCACCAGTTTTGAACCATCGTAAAATGGGAATAAGCATTTAGATAAATGGCAGGTCTAAAAATTACTGACTATTAATGAACAAGTGAGTGATTCTATAGTCATGTGAGCCAAAAAGTAACGGGCCCCCACACACACAGTGATATATGAGCCTCGCCATAAGAAAACCAGCCTTATCACAAAAATTTAAATTGTGCTACAGAGCCAAAAATGTGCCCAAGATTAAGAGGAAAATGTGCTCATCTTTTTGGTCTATATCTTCAAGGAAAATTTTTCAAGACACAAGCCATGGCTCATTTGAAAGGTCTCTTTGTGCTTTTCCAGAAAAACAAAAAATCAAAACATTGAAAAAATCTTTGATAAGACCCTTTTTCCTGTGGCCTGGCTCATATATCTGACTTTTTTACTGAAAAATTCAAAATCAGAAGTTGGCACTAGTCTACTCTTGCATCTGTAAAAGGGCAAGTTAATGAACAGTTTTTCTTAAGTTTTGATGACAAGCTTCATGAATGAAGGAGCATCCAAAAGACACGGTCGCTCTGGTAGGAGACAATCGGACATTATTATGCCTGGCTTCCGGTAAACCACAACCAAACAAATATGAATGGTACGTAAGTTCGTCATATATGCAGAGATAAGCGCATAGATCTGACACAAATATTCATTAGAAGAACTTTAAGAAATAAGGTGTCCGTGAAGGCCCTACTACAGTATGTTAACTATATATTGAATCAACAGATGATGGTATTGATTAAACGAGATTATGATAAGAGGTATTGTCATTTCACCAAATAACACTGAACAAGGCATTAACATGACAAAATGTCACCACCTAGTTGCTCACAATATTATGAGTTCAATCTTAAGTCAAATGAGAGCGAGTTGTTTGTAGAATGAATCGGGGGATTTTTTTCATGAATTTCGCTTATGTTTTTCATCAAAAAAAACATCAATACACTTTAAAACATTTTGTTTACTTTAAGATTACACCATGTAATCCAAAAATATTTTTCTCATTTTCAAAGATAATCCATGGATTAACACCCAGGTATTTTTATTTTTCAAACTTCAGAGGGCTGGGAATCAATGATGCTCAACGCTTTTGAATACGATAAATGCTGTTTTAAATAGGTTTTACGTATGCCAATAATTTCTCAAATTATGTAAGCTGAATGCATTCCTTAATCCCTAGAATGCCTATCATATAACATTCTTTTGTCTTGGCCACTTAATATGTTTTGTTGCTGTCTGATCA